CAGGTAAAAACCTAGAGCCTATGACAATGCTTTCCACGAGTCCAAATGGAGTTCTAGAGCCCATGAGAAGGACTCACACCAGTCTGTTTTATGGGTCTGCACTGGGAAGGCCCAAGGGTCAGCAGTGGAAGCTAGGAAGTCTGTGCCAGCGAGGTGAAGGAGCTGTGCTGGTAGGTTGAGGGTTCTACACTGGAGTCAAGAAGTCATGTACAAAATAGGGACCACAGCGTTCCTGAAAAATACCACAGGCACCCTCAGTGACATGGAGGTTCCGAGCTTCCCCGATGATAAGAACAGTCAAGTACATGTTCAACAGCCAGTGTGATGAGTTTCTCCTGGAGATTAAACAACACACATCTTCCCCTCCGGAGCCAGGAAGCAATGGTTGATGTAAGGTCCAGAGCTCCCCAAAGTGAACCACAGCCACTCTCACCAACAAGGTTCCGGGCTCCTCTGATGATAATGGTCAAACTCACATTGAGAAAGCTAGTCATGATGAGCTCCTCCAGGAGAACCAACGGCTCAAAACAGCAGAGAGCCCATAATGCCTAACTCTTCTTTTTCTCATCCCTATTTATGCTGGCAACTTTCCTCAGGTAGGCCATCTACACTCAGCACCATGCTGATTTCATTCAGCTGGCATTAAGCTGACCATCAGTTTTTATCTGTAACAACTGAGAACATAACTGACAGTGTGTTGGACATAACAAAATATAAAAACTCGTCTTTGCCCTCAAGTTGTTTGCAACTCAGTGACAGATATGCTATTGATATAAACAAAATACCTTAAAATAATTTCTAAGCAGTGTATGTGTAAGTTTAAAGAAATGTATATACATGCTCAAAGTATTATAGAATTAATAGTGAATCTATGTGCTTAAATGTAAGTGTAGTGAATCTATGTGCTTACATATAATGTAAAGAAATTTTCAAAAAGAAACATATGTGGGAAAGATGAGGAGGAAAGGGCACTAAGTATTGTGGAATAACTTAGACAAAGGAATTTGGCTGTTTGCCTCTTTTATAATTTTGAGGTCAATTTTGATTTAGCCCTGTGTTCAGGTCATGTATTTCCAGATTAGATGCTTCTTCATCTACTTGTAACTGAAGTTGGTTAGAGATAACTCAGCTTCCCATCTCATTACTTTAAGTTCGCTGAGATGTCAGAGATTTACTGAATTCTGACACGACCCCACCTCTGAAGGCTCTTGAGAAAGATTCAAAATTGAGGAAGCTCATTTATTTGTTTTTTAAGAGGCATGAAAAAGATTTATTTAGAAGAAAAATGTACATAATCAGAAGAGAGTGGGTTGAAGAATGAGATGCATAATCTTCTGGAGCTGGGAATATTTTTTGTTTTTCTTGAAGGTTTAGAATTACAGGTTTAGAATTAAATTATTAGTAAATCTATAAGAAGTAATATCTTGGCTTGTAGAAGAAAAAGATGGACCACCCACAGAAATATAATAGCTCATTTTACAGTTGAAAGGCACGAGCCCAATCTATTTTTGTAAAATTGATGATCTAAGATGCTTTGCCTAAAAAAAGTTCTTTGAGCTTTCTCAATTACTCCATTTTAATTTCTTCTGTTACCCTTTCAACTGTTTTGGGTATGTGGCTTGTGCTGTTTTACCCATCACTGTCCCCTGGATTGGCTTTAAAGGAATTGGGAGGAGTTTTGGGAGGCATTTTGTTGCCCTGTCTTCTATTGTTTTTCTTTTACTCGTTAGTTTTATTTTCTGCTTAAGTTTGTGGAGGCTTATAATGTAAAGACTTTGGTACTACTATAGAGATCTCTTTAGTTGCTTTTCAGTGTGTACTTTAGGCTTGGCTATAGTCCTTTGCCAAAGCCCCAAGATCTAATCACCTGGGTTAATATGGAAGAAGAGGATGTAGCATAATTAGTCCATAATTAGTCCAAGTTCTCTGGGAATGTACTCTACAGTGTTGCTAATGTTACAAAGGTAATCTGAATGCTGGCTTACAGAGAAATAGTGACAATTACATGACACTGGAAATATCAAGCAAATAGGCTATAGCATTGTCCTAGACATATTGAATAGGAACACACCATAAAAAGCAATTATGTACCACCTTTAACCCTAGAGAAGAAACCCACAATTGTGGCATAAACATTAAGATAATTCAGATAATGACTTACAACTCATATGTACTAAATGTGACAACTATATGTGTTAGTGGTAGACAAGAATTCAACTGCATTTTTACATAGTAAGCTATCAAAAGGTTAACCAACCAACAATGCTTTATGGTTTTACTATTAAAGATCCAGGGTTTGTAATGGGAGAATGCAAGAGGATGGATTTGAAACCTTAAACTATATGATAAGGGGGAGAAAAAGTGGTACAAAGGATCCTTCTGGGGAGGAGGAGGATGTTTATAGAATTAGGCAAAGGTAACAGAAAAAACTGATGAGAGATAGCTAAAAGAAAAAGAGGGAAAGAAGAAACTAATAGGGAATAAAAATGAGAAAATTAAAGGGAGAAAAATTTAAAGTGAGAATAAAAAGAAGAAAGAGATGAGCAAGGAAGAAAGACAAAGGAAAAGTTCCCCAAGACCAAATAAACTGATGAAGAAGAAATAAGGGAAGGAAAGAAGGAAAAAAGAAAGAAAGAGAACCAAACTAAAAAGACATCTCTCTGTGATTTTTTTTTTTTTGTCTTTTTCCTTTTTATCGGTACCCGGGATTGAACTCACAACTGCCTGCTTGTAAGGCAGGCGCTTATGCCGCTGAGCTAATTTCCCAGCCCCCTCTCTTGATTTTTATATGTGTGATTTTCTTCCTGGATCTACAACTTTGGAGCAGTGTCCAAATTGCTGGTAGATAAGGCAGTCAGATCCATGCTGAACGTGGTCAGCGGGCAGTAGGATTAATCAATTCTGTGGATTTCAAAACCAGAGCTACTCATGCTGAGTGTGGTCTCCAACTGAGGAGTTAGGCCTGTGACCTTTAGCTCAAACCCCTCGTGTGGCTTTCCAGCCTGACAGTAGCTCCCAGAGGATTCAGTTGCTGTGGGAATGTAACAATGGGAATCCTGAACGGAAGCTATCCAATAGCAGAGTGTCAGTTTCAAACAATCTTTCCTGGAATCATATTCAACCAAGCACTCTTCAGGATATACGGTAGGTGCTTGAACTGGAGTCACTCACCAGCTGTTACCTGTCATGGACTCACATGGGAGTGGAATCCTGTGCTGTCTGCAGCACACAGTACCCACTAGTTTGTTCCACTGCTGTTACTTCCTGAATTTCTATGGAGCCCCAGTTTTCGCTTTGTCTCTATACATTTATTTGGTCTCCTTTTCCTGTGCGCCACAAGCCAGGAGCCATGGAGGAAGTGCAGACTGTTCTTTCCCCAGAAGCGTTATGCCCTGTCTCTTCACTTTCTCTGTGTTTTTATTTGCCTGCTGGTGTTTTTTCTAGTTTCTAGGGATCTACTCCTGTTTTTTTACTTCTCCAAATTGTTATTTTCCAATGTCTGGATTCCAAATCTCAAAGAGGATGAACTGTTGTTCACTGCTCTGCTACTTGGCCCAGACTGCATTCGTCAGGCTTCATTATCCCAGCAGTGCTGTGGGTGCCTTGCTGTGGCTGCTCTCTGCTTTGTATGTTTCAGTTTATTCTTTTATCTTAACACCAGATTCCTGCCCTTACATCATCAAGTAAGCTAATTTATGGACTTAACATTATCTTTCAGGATGTTGCTGGGGATATAGCTCAGCAGCACAGCTCCTGTCAGGCAAGAGCAAGGTCCTGAGTCCGATTCCCTAGTACTAAAAAAAAAAAAAAGTTTAAGGGAATTTAAATAGGATCAGCTTGGAGAGAAAGAATGAACAAGTCTAGTGGGGAGATATGGGTGACCCTGGATAAACTTGATTTGTGTCCTGATGTTGATGTCTTTTTAAAAGTACAATTTTTAAGGTGGGCGTGGTGGCACATGCCTGTAATCCCAGCACCTGGGAGGCTGAGGCAGGGGGATCACCAAGAGTTTGAGGCCAGCTCAGGATACAAAGTGAGCTCGAGGCCAGCCTGAACCATATAGTGAAACCCTGCCTCAAATAAAGACCACCAAAAAAAGTAGTCTTTAAATTATGATTTCCATGTCTCCTTTCTATTTTAATTTTTTTCTCTCCCCTAGATTTGATTCTTTATTTTTAAAGGTTGGAGAGGGGCCAAAAGCCTATCTTGTGATGTATGCTTTAGGCTAGGTTGGTTGTGTCACTTAATCCTAGCCAGCCATCAGGAACCGAAAGGCTCCCTTTGACTGCTCTACAGAAGATACGAGAGGACAAGAACATTAACAAGGCATTGGCTTTTAAACTTCATCTTACAACCAGGTTAAACAAGCAAGGGCCAAAAACTGAAAGAATATTGGTGAACTATGGCTCCAAAAATGGTACAATTCAAAAAAAGTGAGGCAACATTTGTCATAAGCCTTTAACTTTTAATATTTATTGCTTTTTAGATGTTTACCCTGGTACAACAACTGGAATTTAATATTTTTGCCATACAGGCAGACCTTATACAAGAAACCAAATCTTCACCTGCAGGATACTTTAAAGCACACTAAAATAACGTAATGCCAATACACTCCACTAATGGAATTTTAGCTGGAGAAATTTTCTTACATTGAGTCCGAGAGTTAGATTTGTGTGTGTAGCTTCTTTTAAAAGTAATAGGATAGAATTAAGTTCAATTATTGTTATACGAAACAGTAAGTCCTTCAACAGACCTCTTTTCCCTCACCTTAATAATGATCAAAACATATCTATGAAAGTAATAATAATAATGATAATACAGGAATTTTAAGTAAAAAATGTGAAAAATTAAAATAATCCCACATTTTGCAGAATTGTTAAAAATATTTATTTAAAAATTTTTTCATGCTCAGTGGTATAAGCCTACCTAGAAAATATGAGGTCTTAAGTTCCATCCCCAGTACCAAAACAAAAAAACCCAAAAAAAACCTTTCACTGGAAGATAGTAAAATGAAATAACTTTATTATTTTATCAACAACACAATGCCATGATCAGTTTAGTTCCACAGCCAAAGCAGCATAGACTGTGTGTATGGCCAGAGACAGGGAGGCGGAGAAAAGAAAAAGAGACTTGAGAGGTAGGTGCTAACTTTGTGCTTACTCCCTGAAAGTCTTTTTTTGGGGGGAGAAATCTCTGGAAAAACATGAGGTAGGAAAGTCTTAGGCTACCAGTATAACGAGCAGAACCAATATAGTTTTCAGGGTAATTCCCTAAGGGGATTTGGTCCCACCAATGAATAAGGTTTCTAATTCTATAGTAAGCTCATCCTTGGGAACATCAATCTCATTGCCTGGTTCTTCCCCAAGCTTCTTCCACCAAGGTGCCTGAGTGTGCTTCAGAGTGATGAGGTGGGCCTGCTTGGCCTTGGCTGCCACAGGCCTGGATCTACTTAAGAAGAGCTCAGGTTCTTTCCCTTCTGCCTCCTTCAGACTTGGTGCCTCTGTAGGAAACAGATAGTAAACAGGTAACTGGAGGAGTCTCATGCCAAACATGTAGGAACTTAGAAACCACACAGCTACAAACTTCACTATAGCAGGAAGAGAGAGGATTCTAACTCCTTGGCCTGCCTGGCCAACTGCCTGGCCATTTCTGTGTTTAAAAGATACAATTTTTGTTAAACGGCTTAAAGAATAGAAAATTTTGTGAAAGTACTTTACTAAAAATTGTAAGACGCTTTACAAGTGAATGGCACTGTAACTACTTCTAAACTATGACTAAATGCTTTGGGGATTTTGTAGTAGAAACTGGTTAATGGATCACCATCTTTGAAATCTGTAATTCCAACCTAAAACATATGAGTGATAGCAAGGCTAGAGAAAGTACACAAGGAGCACAATGGAATCTGTATCATTTGAAAACAGGATTAGATGCAGAAAATCCTTTAGGATAGAAGTTGGAAAAGATTATTAGTAGTATCTTCCTTTTGAAGATTTTTAGATGTCATATATCTTGCAAAGATTATTCCTTTTATGAAACAAAAATGGAAGGAGTACATACTCATTAGCTGTTCAATATTTGTGCTGATTTGAGCCATCAGAGCCTCTCTGTGCTGCTGGGCTTTCTCTTCTAGGGCTCTGCTCATAAAGTAGTGTTGTAGCCGTTCTTGAGCTTGGGCATGGAGCTCCCTGCTGGCCTCATCTGACATCTGAGAGCTCTGGGAACACAGGACAAAATAGCTTGTCATACAAAGGACATACATAACAAGTATATTTTGCTTAACATTAGCAGAAATTTAAGGTACTTAGTGTCATTTTATCAATACAATCTTGTGATTGATGTCCACCTGATACTCTTGTGAATGTACTAAATAGTCTCCTAAAAACAGCCTTAGATAAAAACACAGAAAGAGAAGCTTATTTTGGCATGTTCCCATATATTGCTTCTTTAGATAGTATGAATTATGGGGAAAGGGGTAAGACTGAAAGACTACAGTGAAAATTATGAATTGTTTGATAAAGACAGTGCCCCGGAAGAGGAATAATAAGGCAGACCTGTTTTTCCTGGACCCATTTGAAAAAACTGTCTTACTTCTTAACCGATCCCCACTCCTAAACTTATCTAAGGGTTTCACAGAATGCGAGAGAAAATCAGCTAAAGGATCATATTTCACTTGGGAGTGGTGCATACCTGTAATCTCGGGACTCTGGGAGGATGAGGCAGAAGATCACAAGTGAAAGCTTAGCCTGGGAAACTTCCCTATTTAGCGAGGCCCTTCCTCAAAATAAAAATAATAATAGTAATGATGAAAAGGGCTGCGGATGTTGCTCAGTGTGAAGACTCTGGGTTAAATCTCCTGTACTACAACTAACTACCCATATTCCTTTGCTAGTCAGCTAATTTAAGAGAAAGTAAACTGATTAGATACTAAAGATGAACTATTCTTAGCTTGGGAGCTAACAGTTCTGATACTACAGCATTCTCAAATACTCAAGTTTCTGGATCTTTGCTGTAACTGTTTCTGCTAATGCCTTCCTTTTCAGTCACAGGTGCTTAAGCAAGTGCACTAAAGTATGGCTAAAGCAGCACTTAAAAGCAAAAACAAAAAACTAGAGTATGCATCAGAATCACAGTTGTCTCTTCCTGTCTGTGGGTACCCCTGCATTCAACTAACTGCAAATTGAAAGTACATATTAAAAAAACTGAAAACATACAAATTTTTTTCTTAGCATTGGTTCCTAAACAATATACCATGACAATATTTTATATACCTTTTATACAGTATTAGATATTAGAAATAAACTAGGGATGATTCATAGTACACAAAAGGAAGTATATAGCGTTTGAAATACTATGCCATTTTATATAAGGGCCATGCGCATTTGTGAATTTTGGTACACATGCAGGTCCTAGAGCTAATCTCCTGAAGGTAATGGGGACAACTGCATATATAGGTACTTGAGGAGGGGGGAAGGAGAGAGAGAGAGAAAGAAGAGAGAGAATACTAAACATAAGAGCTACACTGATAAAACTCTTGAAATAAAATGTAGGAGTAGACTCACAACACTGGTTTGTGGGTAATGTGTTTTTGGACCACAGGCCCAGGCAATGAGAAAAAAAATAGACAAATGACCATCAGAATAACTTTAGTGTATTAAAGGACATTATTAAATAAAAAGGCAGCTCACGGAATGGCATGAAATATTTGCAAATCATATATGCGCCAAGGGATTAGTATCTATAATATACTCCAAGAATTCTTAAAACTCAATGACAACAACAAAAAATAACCTAATTCAAACATAGGCGAAAGACTTGAGCAAATATTTCTGTAAAGCAGACATACAAATGATCAACTCACATATGAAAAAGATAATCGAAAAATCACTAGTCAGTCATTACAGAAATTCAAATGTAAACCACAATTAAATACCACGTCACATCTATTATCCATTAAAAAAGAACAGACAGTAAGTGGTAACAAGAACATGAAAAAATCAAAACCTCTGTATGCTGCTGCTAAATGGATGAACAAAATGTGGTATACATATACAGATATCCAACCTTTAAAAGAAGGATATTCTGATATAAATTAATTTTAATAAATCTTATAGCCATCATTCTAAGTGTTATACATCATATATCAAAGAACAAACACCACACATGAGGTACTTAAAGCAGTTAAATTCATAGACACAAATATAGAATAATGCTTTCCAGGAGTTGGGCAAAGGGAGAATGGAGAGTTTCTTGATTAATGAATATTGAGTGTCAGTTTTTCAAGATGCAAAAAGTTCTAAAGATGAACTAGAGTAAGGTTAAATGTTGTAATGACAGACACTATGTTTTACATATTTTCAGTTAAAATATTGATACAAGAAGCTGTGCTGATCTTACTGAATCAGAGTTTCTTGGAGTGTATTTATAATTTTAATAAAGATGATTAAACTTATAAATGATTAAAACTGCTAAAAGCAAGACTGTCTGCTCTCTACAGAGGTGAGGAACTGGTCATAGATTTGGTGGTATGGAGGAATGTTTCTGTGTCTCTTTACTGTTTTTGCTCACCAAGAACTGTCACTTGTACTTCTCCTACTCTTTCCAATTCAATTCCAGCTCCTGGTTAATTGAAGAGTTAATATGATTGATTAGAACCTAAAGGATCTTTTTTAGTCACCAGGCTAATTACATTTTAAAAGCTCAGGACTCTGAATTTCATTTAAATATTTAGGTTAAGTTTTTAAAAATAAAGTCATCCATAGGTAAAAGTGACATAACTTGCAAATATTAACAGGGAACAATATGTTAAGCTTTGACATACATCTGTGAAATAATCACCACAATCAAAATAATAAACACTTATCAAAATCCACTTCACTTGTGCCATTACTTTTTCCCCTTTCCTCATCTCCTAAGCAACCACTGATACTACAGTTTGTATTTCTAGGGCTTGTACAAACTGAATAATATAGTACATATACTACATTGTTTGGTCTATAGTAGTTAGCATAATCATTTTGAGGCTTATCTGTGTTGACATGAGCATAATTTATTCTTTTATATTGATGATATACAATGGTTGATACACTATTGGACATTTGGGTTGTTACTGATATACTGTTGGACATTTGGGTTGTTTCTAGTTTTTGGATGTTACAATTAATCTATAAGTGTTCATATGGAAGTATATTTGCTTCTTTCTTGGCCAAATACGTAGCGCTGAAATGACTGAATTGTGGTAGACATATATCTCACTTTTTAAGGAAATGCCAAGCTATTTTCCAAAGCAGTAGTACTATTGCACATTCCCACGAACAGTGTCAGTCACAGTTTCTCAATATTCTTGCTAATCTCTGATGTGTTCAACCTTTTATATTTTAGTCATTCTAGTAGATGTAGAATACCTTATTTCTATTTTAATTCATATTTCCTCCAAAGACTAATGCTGCATTTTTCCATGGGCTTATTTATTGTCTATTTCTTTGGGTCAAAAGGCTGTTTAAATCTTTTGTCCAAAACACTTGGTTCGTATGTTTTCTTATTATTGACTTTTAAAAGTTCTTTATGTATCATGAATAAAGAACTTTTATTAAATATATGCTTGGCAAAGATATTCTCCCAATCTGTCCCTTCTCTTTTTATTTCCTTAAACAGCATCTTTTGAAAGGAAGCTTAAATTTTGACAGTCAATTTATTAATTTCTGTCTTCTTTGCTTCTAGTGTTGTAATTAAGAAATCTTTGCCTAACTCAAAGTCACCATTTTTCTCCATGGTTTCTTCTATAAGTTTTATGCTTCAGGTTTAAACATTTATTTATTTGCAGTACTGGGGATTTAAACCTAGAGTCTTCACACATGGAATAGGTCCAGCTCCTTTTAAAATTCTGAGATACAGTCTCACTAAGTAGTTGATTTGCTCAAGCCGGGCTCAAACTTCTGATTCTTCTGCCTTTGCTTCAGGCATGTACCATCATACCGGGCTCTTATGATCCATTTTTGGTTAAATTTTGTACGTGCTGTGATGTATATATCCAGGTTCACCTTTTTTTAAACATATGGATCCAACTGCTTCTATTTCTTTACTGCTTTAATTACTACATGTACCTCTGGTCATGCAGTTTAATTATTTGGTTATGTATGTGAATTTATTTCAAATTATTTCTCCAACTTTCAGCTCCTAGAAATCATTATTCTACTCCTTACCTTCTTCTCTCTCTCTCTCTCTCTCTTTCTTTCTTTCTTTTTTTCTTTCTTTCTTTCTTTCAGACAGGCACCATGTCGCTGAGAGATATTCCTGACTCTACTCTTTCTAGCAATAAGACTATTTTAGTCTCTGATAAATGGAATCATACAAAATTTGTCTAGTTTATTTTACTTACTATTTCTTCAAGGTTCATCCATGTTAGCTTTATGTATTTTGAAGCTCTGTTACTAGGAACATAAACATTTAGAATACTTATAGCATCTTAATGACTCTTTTATCATGAAACTTATACTAAATTTTTACTTTTCATATAAATTTTTTTGATATCAACATATTCTCAGGTCTTTTTTTTGACATTGGTACAGAACTTCAAAGCAGGAAAATGGGATAGTAGTAACAGGTACTATCATATATCTTGTTATCTTCACAATAGTTGTCCAGTCAATTAGGTATAGCAAAATCAAACCAATAACAGAACATTGTAAAACCAATTGAAGGAGAATATTGAATAGAGCAAAACAATCATTACAAAACATAAGAGTGAAAATAACCTTTGCCTTCAAACAGAAGATAGAAGGAAATCCCCTTTATTTGCTATACTGCATATGGGCATCCTCCCAAGAGATGCTCAGAACTCTGACTCTGGTTGCTGACAGGGTGGGGGTAGGGGGATGTTTGATTCTCAGCCGCGCGTCCTGTAGGCTCACAGGAACAGCTGACTGGTTCTCCTCCCGGCTGGCGCCAGAGGTGCTTACCAAGAAGGTGAGCAGACTGCTTCCTTGTGCAGCCACCTAAGTCCCAACATGGCCGGGTCTTGGGTAGCCACTGGTTCTCCTCCGGGCCAGCCCCAGGGGCACTTACCAAGAGAGCGGGTCAGGTATTATTTTTAATTTGACTTTTTTTTTCATTATTAAAGAATGAACCCAAGGCCATCACATTGAGTTATAGCTTACTTGGAGACAAAGTTTTACTAAACTGCTAAATTGCAAAGGCTGGCTTATTTATGTGAATGCTCACATTAAGAAAAACTTGGCTGAAAAAATAAATCTAATCATACAGTTCAAGGTCCTAGAAAAACAAGAACACTTCAAATTCAGAATTATTGTAAGGGAAGAATTCATAAAGATCAAAAAAAAAATAATGAAACTGAGACAAAAGAATCAATGAATCAAAGAGCTAGTTCATTGAAAAAGTAAACTAAATAGACAATGTCTTGGCCAAACTTATTCAAAAAAGTGAAAGAAAAGAATCAAAAAGTACAATTAGAAGTGAAAAAATTGAAGTCACAATAGATACTGCTGAAATCTAGAAAATTATTAGTAACTGCTATGAAAAATTATACTTCAACAAATCAAGAGAATCTAGAAGAAACATTTTTCTAGACTCATAAAATTACCAGAACTGAAACAAGGAAGTATGAAAACTCCAAATAATTCAATAATAGGCAATGAAACTGAGGCAGTAATAAAAACTACACCAACTAAGAAAATTCCCAGGACCTGATGGCTTCACTGCTGAATTCTGCAAGAACTTCAGGGAGGATACACCACCAATGTTTATCAAACTCTTTAAAGAAATTGAAAGGGAAGGACTATTTTCAAACTCATTTCTGGAAGTTACAATATCCTACTTCTAAAATCAGACTAGAATTCAGCTTAAAAAAAAAAAAACTGTAGGCTTATCTCTTTAATGAATTTCCTGATCCTAAAATATGTCACATAAATAGAAGCAAGGATAAAATTAAGATTATCTTACTTAAAAGTCTTTTTTAAAAAAAATCTAACATCCATTCATGATAAAAACCCTGAAAAAGCTACTGTAGATATAGAAGGACTTTACCTCCATCTGACAAAAGCCATTTATGACAAACCTACTGTTAATATCATATTAAAAGGGGAAAAACTGAAAGGCTGACCCAAAAATCAGGAACAAGACAAAGATTTCCATTATTACAACTCCTGTTTCATATAGTACTCAAAACATCTGTCAGTAGAATCAGGCAAAAGAGAGGACAAAATCAAAACACAAAAGTCAGCTGCATTCCTGTACATCAATAAAGAATCCACTGAGAAGTGAATTAGGGAAACAGTACTGTTCACATCCACAGTTCTATGAAAAAGGAAATTGAAAAGGACATCAGAAAATGGAAAGATATCCCTGTTCTTGAACAGCCAGAACCAGTATTGTCAATATGGTAGAAAAGTGATACACAGACTTAATGCAATCATAATCAAAATGCCAACAGTATTTTTCATAGAATTAAGAAAAAAATATCCTAAGGTTTATACGGAACCAAAAGAGACCCTGAGTAGCAAAAGCAATCCTTGGTAACAAAAACAAGGCATGAGGCATAATAGTCCCAAGTTTCAAGTGATACTACAAAGCTACAGTGATTTAAAAAACAACAACAACAAAATGAAACAAAACAAAACAGTATGGCATTGGCACCAAAACAAACATACAGATCTAAGAAACAGAAGACAAGATGGAGAAACAACCCCAGGCACATTAAAAGTCATCTGACCATTATGAAGGGGCCAAAATTATATGCTGGAGAAAACACAGCCTCTTTAACAAATCGTGATGGGGAAATTAGTTATACTCACGCAGAAGATTGAATTTAGACTCCTATCTATCACTTTATGTCAAAGTAAAATGAAAATGGATAAAACGGTTACTAAAACAGAAACACTTTTAGATACAATAGCTGAACTCTTGAATACATGGCCACAGGAAAGGCCTTTCTAAACAGAATCCCAACTGCAGAAGAAATGCCATCAAAAATCAACAAATGTCATTGTATCAAATTAAAATGGTTAGTATTGTAAAATGAGCAAGTCTTTCTGAAGTATGAGAAGTGAAGTCCTCTTCACCATTGACTATACTTCAACAGTTACATTATAAAGAGACCCTAAATCATTAACTATATGGTAAAGCCACTGAATTATCTTATGTCAGCAATAAATAGGCTGAAGAATATGAGTTACTGCTTTGTTAGTGATTATCATGCAATTAAGTAATGTAATGTAGATATTATGGCACAGAAGCCTACATACTGGATGCCTTCTGACATAGTCATCCACTTGTTGCTTCAGTTGAACTCTGCGTGCATCTGTGAGTTCCTGGAGTCCTTGCCAAGGGACAAGTACTTTCCTTTTCTTACGGCACTTTGTTAGGAATTTAAGAACCTGAGGTGGGAGTGGAGGGAGAGAGAAAAGAAGGTTTGTGACTTTTCTCCCCAATACAGCTATTATTTCTCTACAATATACAGCAGTGACACTGTGGCAACAGTGATTCACAGAGTAAATGAGGAGGGGGACCGATGGAACTGTGGTAGAGTAAGAAAGGGCAGTCAGTGACTTTTTAACTTTACAGATGGGCCTCGGTTTATGAGGGGTTATCTCCTAATAAACCCCCTGTAAGTGAAAATACACTTACTATGTCTACCTCATCTCTCTTATACCTCTTATCATCACACTGTGGTTTCTGCTGCATGCCTATCACTTTAGCACCATGTAACACAGGGACCATCTGGCTATTCCTCTCTAGTGCTTTCATTTTTTTCTTTTATAAGAATTGTTATGGTATGAATCTTAAATGTTCCTAAAATGCTCATGTAGTAAAGGTTTAGCTCCCTGCTGATGACACTTGTGGGAGGAAGCACAACTTTTAAGACAAGGGACTTACTGAAAGGAAGTTAGGTCACTGCCAGTATGCCTTACCCTTTCCTTCTCCCTGCTTTCCATGGCTTGGAGGTGAGCAACTTTGCTATTGATGCTTTGATTTCCCACAGGCCCTGGACTGGAACCTCAGAAACTTGGGTCAAAATAAATCTTTCTTGTAAGCTTATATTTTAGGTATTTCTGTCACAGCAATGGGAATCTGACCACAAGGATACATTCACTTTTTTCTATACAGTAAGTAATAAAGATTGACAAAGGAATTAAGCATTGAGTTCTAATCTCAATTCTTTCTTATAAACTGTATGATTCTGGGCAAGTTACTTGATCCCTATAGAACTAATTCTATGTCTTTAGGAAATTTGGACCCTACTTCTACATGGCCAACAGTATTATAAACATCATAGAGTACCTAAAAAAGCACTGGTAAATGAGAAATTATTGTAAAACAAGGTGCAAGGCAGCTGACAACATATGAATGTACTTTATGTTTTTCAGAACAGACTTCTAGTAAAATTTTAAAAATCTCATAACAGCCTTGATTTGGGACATATTTGAAATTACTCTTCCCATTTTTTCACTCTTTTTCTTTCTTTGTAGTTTTTTGTTGTCATCAAAGTTGCACATTCATACTTTAGAGCAATGGTTGGTAAATTATGGCCCATAGACCAAATTAAGTCTACTGTCAGTTTTTCCACGGCTTGAGAGTTAAAAATGAAGTTTTTTAAAAACATGGTTAAAAAGTAAAGAATATTTTGTGACGTGAATCTATATGAAATTCAAATTCAGTGTCTGTAGCCAGGCATGGTGGTGTGCCTCTAATTCCAACACTCAGGAGACTGAGTGTCTTGGTTACTTTTACTTTCCTCCCCTTGCTAAAATAAAATACCCTATGCCCTAAATGAAGGAAGGGAAGGTTCATCTAGCTCACTGTTTGTAGAAGTTTCAGTCCATAATCAGCTGGCTCCCAGGCAGGGTGGACGGCACAGGGGCAACACTTCAAGGCAGCAGCCAGAGCAAAAAAGACAGCCAAAGCAAAATTGATTTGCTTGATATTGTACACAGGCCACCTCCCCCACTTCAGGGCAGGTGTAGCACTCATAAAAATCTCCTTGCCCTCCTTTGCACAGGATGGAGGGCATTTACAAAGTAAGAACTCTGTTTCCTGCTGAGTTTCTCAGCTAAATTTGTGAACCTCTCAAGTTGTCACAATGTATCAACCATAACACTGAGGCAGGAGGATCTCTGCAAGTTTAAGGCCAGCCTGGGTTACATACTGAGCAAGCCCGAACTATGCAGTGACACCCTATCTCAAAAACAAACACACAAACCCAAATTGAAGGTCTGCAAACAATGTTTTTTTGGAACATGGTTATGCTCAATTGTTTACTATTATTTATGGCTTTAATTTGAGCTGCAAGTGTTGAGGAACTCTAACAGACTACAGGGTCTGCAGAGCCTCAAATATTTTATATCTGACCCTTCCCATTGAAGTTTGCTGGTATAAAATTCTATTGTTTAAAGTTTATTATACAGAATTAGTATCAAAATAATTATACTGGTCCCCAGTTAACACCATTTCCAACCCCAAAGAGGACAAAATTAACTTTTTCAGGTTTTTCCACACTTAGCTTTTTGAATATATGATTTTCAAATATATGCATTATCTACTGATTTTCTCGAATTGAAAACAGGATTTAGCTCTTTCACTGCTTGTACTTTTTATATTCTAACCATCCAATATCACTGTATTATAGTTTTAGCTGGTTCCCTGTTTTTGGTACCGGGGATCAAACTCACGACTTTGCATTTGCCAAACAGGTACTTACGCCACTGAGCTAAATCCCTGGACCTGCCGGTTCACTGTTTACATAATTATTATTGTATGAAGACTTTAGAATCATATATTATGAGTGCTTTTCCTTCCCTGCATACTTATTTTCTCTGGAATTAATACTTATTCTTGTGCTTAGTGGAATTTTTTTGAGACAAGACCTTGCTATGTAGACCAGGTTGGCCTTGAACTCATGGCAATCCTCTGCCCTCACTCCCAAGTGCTGTGATTACAGGTGTGTACCACCAGCTCATTTGTATGTAGTTTCTGTATATTTAATACTGACTCTACTTCTTAAACTATGCCTTGTCAAGACAGTAGAAAATATCAGGCCTTCTACCAGACTAATTTTCCTAGATATCTGTTTTCTGGGGTTTTCTGATCTGACTATACTCTATGCATGTAGCTTAACTGTCTCCCTATGGTACATTTAACATCATCTAGTTAACTTCTTTGCATCTATTTGTTTCTTGGATTCCATGCTATCTTCTTTCCTGAGTCATTCCTAAGACATTTTTGTTGGGAGCTGTTGAAGCTTGAAGTTGACTATGTGTACAAGACAGGAGCATGCTCATTCCGAGAACAAAGAATGCCTGGGGCAAACCACATGAAGAAGCTGCTTCAGCCCAGAGAACACCTGGCCCCAAAACAATCTAAACAGTGGGTTGCTAGGACAACAGGGTGTCATGTGACATTAAGTTGCTAAAAGGTTTTAATAAACTGCCACTGCAGTGAGAAGCCAGCAGTTTGCTCCCATCAGGAGGATAAGGACTCCACCTGACCCCAGCTTTGTCTTTTCTTGTATTTCTCTCACTTTAACCCTAAGAACCTCGGGAGCCACCTGGGTTGTGGTAGATTTTTAATGCCTAAAAATGTCTTTGGTAAAGAGTAACATAAAAGATTATAGAAAACAAGGAGATAGATCTTTTGCAAATGGGAATGAGACTAAGAGATGGAGAAGGGTGATGGAAGAAGAGGGGAAAAGGATATAAAAAGAATAAATTTGTGCTATGTGGACATCCAGGAGTATGGCAGAATGATGAAAGCAGAGAAGAAGCCTCTGAGATCTGGTGTCCAGATGCTGGATTACAGTAATGTGAGGAAGAGGAGAGGGAGGGAAGTACGTCTTTGGGACAGGCAAAAGATCCGAAGCAAGAGTGGAAGACCACTTAGAGTGAAGAGAGACACTTCAACGCAGCAGGAGGAGGCAGCAAATGGCACTTTCTCCCTGAGCCCTGATTCACAGAGTGGGAGGGTGGCTCAGACCTAGAAATAAATGCTGACTATGGTGACCCACAGGCCATCTGATGTTTCTAAAATCTGGTGGGTATTTTACATTTAGAGCGCTTTCAATTTGGACTGGTTAACATGTCAAATACTCCATATTCACACGTGCTTAATGGCTACTGTATTAGTGCAGGTGCAGAGTGTGCTTAGAAAATAATGCTTTAATATGGCAAATTAAATGCTTTAATGTGGCAAAATGTGTCCTTTACTGAGCATTGCCCTGTTCTAATTTTCTCTACTACTTTTCTTCTTCTTCTCTCTACATGCTTACATTTTCTTTCTCTTTTCCTCCTTTGAAAGTAATCCTCGTATTTCCTTTTCCATTTTGCTAGCTTTGCTTTGACTTAACAGTTACTTCTACTAGTGAGAGGCAAAAATTATAAATAAGGCCTGTATCTTTTTGTTCTTACTTTGTGGACAAATACTCCCCTTTTGTGGATTTGTTTGAGTAGACATGAGGCAAATGCAACTAATTTTTTCCTTAGGTACCAATGTAAATTGTGGAAGTCAAAATAATTTTGCCATCATAGCCCCTGAAATATTGTTACAATGATCACTGCTCGTCTAGGGAATGATAGACAAACTGGGGTATCACAGAGGATGCCTTTTCCAAGTGTTGAGCTCATCTAAATCAGATAACGTGGTCAGTCAACATAATAAAGGCCCAGCTAATTCCCTGACAGGACAGTCTTTAGAAAGGAGGTAGCTAGCTGGGTACTGTGGTGCACACCAGTAATCCCAGCACTTGGGAGGCTGAGGCAGGGGGACTGCTGTGAGTTTAAGGCCAGCCTGGGCTACATAGTGAGTTTAAGGTCAGTCTGAACTACATAACAAAATCTTGTCTCAAAAAACAAAACAAGGCCTTCCTGTGAACCAGGCCCTGCCAGGCAGAACAGGAAGAGACTCAGCCAGAAGACAAAGCATGCCTTCCTACGAGCTATGGGGGATTTTCTCCTGTCTTATTTTTGAAACCCAGTATTTTATTCTGTTTTACTTTTGTTTTATTTCTGTATCTGGTAAGATAAGCAACTATTGTGAAGATAACAATGTTCAACCATTGTTAAAATCCTATCATCTGTTTTGAAAACCTATATAGCTGTTCTTGTTTTTTTTTTGTTATTACTGTTGTCGTTTTGCTTTTGTTGTTGTTGCTTCTTGATTTTTTTCCTCTTTAAAATAAAAAAAATCAAACAACAACAAAAAAGAGGTATCTGCAAAGTAAAAGTATTAGAAAGAAGGCAAAGGTCCCTCTACAGGAAGGAAAGTCGCCAATCTTGATATTAACGGGTCTTAAATATCCTTATTTGGTAAAGGGTAAATATCAGGAGTATGTGTGATTCAGTGATTGTGCAGCCCTTTTTGCTACCTTTATAGGCTAAGATTCTCAGAAGAGCCTGAAGCAGAAAGAGTCAGATATCTCTTCTAATTTTTCTAGTAGTTATTCTAATGTGTTGTTAGATGATTTTATTAATATACTATAAACTATGAACCCACAGAAAATATTTAAAAGCTACTATGAGGGCCGAGGATTTAGCTCAGCAGCGTAAGTGCCTGCTTGGCAAGTATGAAGTCATGAATTTGATCCCTGGTACCAAAAAATAAAAATAAAAGCTATTATAGTGAAAAACTGAAAACTGACCAAAAGTTCAACAATAACAGGTTGTTAAGCTAAATGCATGAATATCTGAAACATGTTATATTATACTACTTTATAGCCATATATAATAGAACAACTGAATATTGGAAAACTGGTCATTTAACTTGAAAAAAAGCAGCCTATACTATGCTTCACCAGGTCAATAAAATATTACTCTGCTATTTTGCTCATTTAAGAACAGTATTTCACAAGTCAAGAGTTATATACTTGTCTAATTATATCAAGTACTTAATTTATACAATTAAAATTTAATTTATACAATTAAAAAATTCAAAAATGATATGCTGCATTTACATAAGATGTTGGAATATTAAAAAAAAACTATTTCCACAGGTTAGGGCATCTGATCCACACAACTGAGTAAAACGATAGAGTCGACCTCTACTCATACATCAAGCACACCCTGAGAGCTGATGACAACATTAAATAAGAAATAGTTTCTTATTCTTATTGAGGAACTAGCAGCCCCAGTAGTAGAGGAATAAAGTTAACAGTAACAGTATTGCAATTTGGCAAATGATGTGGTGAAGGTTCTACAGTAGTCCTAAGGACTGAGTGCTTATGAGCTTTATTTTCCTGAGGAAAAAACTAATGCTTAAGAAATCTAATTAACTAGGGGCTGGGGATTTAGCTCAGCGGCATAAAGCACCTGCCTTGCAAGCAGGCAGTCGTGAGTACGATCCCTGGTACCGATAAAAAGGAAAAAGACAAAAAAAAAATAAATAAATAAATAAATAAATAAAAAGAAATCTAATTAACTTGACCAAGTTTTTCAACAGGTAAAGAGCAAATTCAGATCTGAACCCATGTTGGCTCCTTAGCTACAGCAGTTCTTGCTATAGCAGACTCACTGCTCTTTGAAGTATGACAGCTGCTTTATGCTCTGTGAGACATGGCCTTTGTTGGTGGAACTTTTTTCTTTGTCTGTACCCTCTCCAGTGCTTCTGGATTATCAGTGCTGATTTCTCTTCCAGCTTCTGATTGTATTTCTCCACTTGACCTAAACAAGATAACAGATGCTACTGTAACATTTTCACTGCTATGTTTTCTCAAGTTCTAGAATCAGGACAGAGGTAATAGTAACAACCTTGTCTTTTAAAAAAATTTTTAATACTATCTCTGATTTCCTCAATCTTATTATTTTATGGTTCTAAGATTTAAAAAAAAAAGTTTTCCTAGATTATGCAAACTTCTTTAGAGATAATAGTCCTAAAAACATTTTTGTGGTAGGGTGGTGTAAAAAGGACTGAAAATTCAATCGTAAGAACATTTTTGAGGAAAAAAGTCATTAGTATATCGTTAAGAAATCATTTGGTACCACCAGAAGGAAAGGGCAAGGTATGAATATGTTATTTATTCTACCTTGTATGCTTTTAAGTGTTTCTTTAGTTGGTTCCACCCATGACTTTCTTTTTACTTTCTGAGAGTTGGCTCATTTATAGCTCTAGGTTCACAGCTGCTAAGAAATACGGTAGTACCAGTGGAATTTAACAGGGATATATTTGAAAGACTATAAAAAACTGATAGTGGAGGTGAAAGGGAAAGCATTTTAGGGCCTTTCAGATGGAAAAAAGAGTAGATGGTTTGCACCACTGTCTGAAATGAGAAATAAAAAATCTGGGAGCAAGATGACTTTAATTTTAAGATGTCTTTGAATATTTAAATAAAACTATCCAACAGGCAGTTGGCTACAGAGCTGTGCTGACTAATAGAGTATACAGTGACAACCAGTGTCTACTTAGATTTACAAAAAAAAAGTAAAAGTCCAGGTCCTTAAATGCATTAGAGAAATTTGGAATACTGAATAGTGATCTTAGCCACTGGCTACTATATTACATGGTGCAGACCTTTTGTTTATGTAAAAGGTTCTATTCAGTGGTCCTTCTAGATGGAGCTTTAGGTGAGGGGGTGAGATATAAAATGCTAAGCACTCAGCTAACCAAATCTATGGCTATGGATGGGATATACCAGGCAGCATATGAGAATAACTGGATATGGAGGAACTCTGGAATGTAACTCGATTTAAAGTAAAGGAAGAGAAATAAGGGCCCAGTGAAGTGTTCTGAGAATGAATAATAAAGAAAAGAAGTAAAATACCAAGGAAAAAAATCTTGTAACCAACTAGCCATCCCAAATCACACTTTATTATTAATTTTAGCTTAGTCTTCACAGGAGGCAGGTGCTGCTGCAAGGCTTGTACTACAGAATAAGTAAAACTCTGATGGCAGAATGTAGCAATGCTCTAACTTTTCAACTAAATTCAAGAGTTTATGTCCCAGACACTAATTTTTAAGTATAAATTTTTGTTTCACTAATTTATACTTAAAAGAAGAAAAGAAAACATGGGAAATAGCTCATCATTAACTAATAGGTCTGACTTGGAAAAAATTGTAACTTGTTTTTTTTATTCAAGAAGTTTAATAAGCTTTATCTAGAGACAGAGAAAGAGAGAAAAGAACAAGGGAAAGATAAAAACAAACATCAAGTAGATAGGAAAAATGTTTATTTACATTCTTATACTTGTAAGGTTGATACTGCACTTACTCACCTGGATGAACTATTTCAAGCATACTCAGCCGTAATTCTCGGGAATGTCTCATGGCTCTCTGCCTTTCAAGTTGCAACTGCAATCTGAGATTCTTTTCTTCTTTCTGCCTATTTAGCTTTAGCAACGCCTTTGTTCGTTTAGATCTGTGATGGAAACAGTGATTTTTAAAGTTACATACAATGTCACAATCACATGTCCATTCAAGAAATGTAGGAAATGCTTATCTATATAAGTAATCAAATAAAAGTAGACAGAAAAAGTTTTAAAAAGATGATTCCTGATGTTGTTTGGGGTATAATGAAATATACCATCATGTACTTCAGCTGTGCAAGTTTTCTAGAGAAATACTTGGATATATCCTTCAAAAATCTGAAAAAATAGTTTAAATTTTCTAAGGAAATAATGAAATACATATTCACAGATTTATGTTCAAGGATCTCTCAGCATAGTTTTACAACAAGTTGAAAACAAATTACTTTTTCTATGACAAGCAGTTAGATATATACTGATTCATCATCTGGTGCAATTCTATGAACCATAACTAAATAAATTTTCAAAGAATATTTAGTGACATGCAATGGACTGTCAGGTGAAAAGTCAAGAATGAGATTCAAATTGTGTTAAAAACTTGTATTTTCTTACACAGAAAAATAAATGATTAAAAAATTAAAAATTTCAGTAGTCACTGCACGGTATTTATTTTCTTCTTATATTTATCTATCTCTCAATAGTGACTAATAATAAACATTTTTATCACTAGTTAGGAAACTTTTCATATGACCACATTTATCATTTTTATATTCTCTGCTATTACTAAGTTTTTTAAAACCATTCAAACTCAGTTTTTGTTTCTTACACCATTATTATAAGAACACAAAGAACCAACAGCATCAAAACACTTTGACTCTCCTTGGAAAGAAAAACCAGGAAGATGAGAGAACAGATTATACTACTTATTTTACTTTGATCCTTCATTCTTTTCTCCCTCCTCTTCTTCCTTTCCTTCACTCTTCTCTTTCTTCTCTCTCTCTCTCTCTCTCTCTCTCATTCTCGCTCTATTTCTCTCCTAATGCTAGGGATCAAACCCAGGGCCTGTGCCTCCTAGACATGTGCTTTACTATTGAGCTACACTCTCCTAGTCCCCATAGAATTAATTTGTATGTGTTTCCTTCAAGAGCATCTTCTTGTATCTTTTTCCTTTCCTTTTTCCAATCGTGGTAACTTGGTTAGATCTCATATAGTTGTAGTTAGGCTTTTGTTTAGAAAACAGAAACACAATGAAGTGCAATAATTCTAATAACAATTATAACTTAAAAAGAAACCTTTAAAAAAAACCAAAGCACCCATTTTGCAGCCCAATGTGGTGGGGCATGCCTGTCATCCCAGCACTTGCCAGGCTGAGGCAGGAGGATAGCTACAAGTTTGAGGCCAGCCTGGGCTACACAGTGAGTTTAAGGCTGGTCTGCCAGGCAGGTGCTGTGCCACTGAGCTACATCCTGGGCCTATGGGAAATAACTTAGGTACACAGGCTATGAAATGTAGAAAAAGGAAGGAAGGAAGGAAGGAAGGAAGGAAGGAAGGAAGGAAGAAAGAAAGAAGAAGAAAGCAAAAAAAAGAAAAGAAAGAAAAAAATGTAACATGAAGATGGATGTGAGATACAAACTAAGAAAATAAAAGCGGGGTCTATGATTGAAATAATAGCTGTAAATTGTGTGCTTCTTGGATCCATATACTTTAGTTTCATGCTTGAAAACATTTACTAGGAATTGAGGTGATTTAAAGAGTTGTTTCTTCCATTTAATTACATTCTAATTATTCTGCTATAAACTCCTATAATCACTCAAAACTGAAAAATTATTTTCCATCTGATTTCTCCATAAGAACAAGTAGATATCTGACCACATGGTTCATGTATTGCAATTCTAAAAAGGAAGTATGATGGGCAGTTAAGTTAGAAAAAAATTATCATAGTCTTGTTGGGGACTACAAATTCACAATGGTTAATTTTGCATATTTCCCTATGTGATAAAAGGGAGGTTTGGGATTATTGGTACAATCCATCTGAGATTTCCCATTAACTCTTCTAAGCATAAGGTTATCTATGCCTCCTTAAGTCATCTCAGGATTGTACTCCAGGACAAGGTATTTCTACCATAAGATCATCTATGAACTCTTACATCATCTCAGGATTATACTTCAGGACAAGATCCTTCTTAGCATATGATCATCTACACCCTTTTGAGTCTGAATCTTCTGATGAATTGCAATCTTTTACTAGCCCACTTACCACTGTACACACCTAATAAATAGTGGTGGCTCTGGGAGAGGAAAAAGTACAATCCAGGGGACACTGACTTCCCAGCCACTGATGCAATCCTACACTTGTCCCTGTTTTTTATTTTTCTTGTGATATTCTTAAGACAATTAGGACTCTTGGCTGGGCTCCTGAAATAGTTTGAGGGACTAGGCTTTCAAGGAAGTCAGTGGGAAAATGAAAACATCAGAATTGTGGTTGGAGCTGCATCCGAACAAAGCTGTGCCTCAAAATGAAGGCGCAATGGTTAGTCCTACATGCCTCCTAATGTATAAGCAGTAATTTGGAATTATACTGTAATTAGCACCAGGAAGTTCAGCTAGGAATCAGATACCTAGTTGACTGACCAGAGGATGCATTCCTTCCCCAAAACTCCATTGTTTTTGCTTTGTACCATTGCTATGTGTTTATTTCTCTATTGGATCAATATTAGCTAAGTAGCTATACTTGTAATCCTATAGATTGATTATAGTTTGACCAATGTTGTACCCACATTGTAATTTTGCTGTATACATTACCCCCCACAAAGGGGCTTGGTGGTAATTCACTTGCAGGACCCCTCCTATCTCTCAAGAGCTCTCTCTCAATAAATGTTTCCTATTCTTAATTTCTACTGTTCTTTTAAAATTCATTTTTTGATTTCATGGGACACGAACTCAGTACATCTGATACCTAACAGGTTGGGAGCTATATTTGCCCCACATCAGAAGGAAAAGATCAGATATTATATCAATAAATACTGAGTGACTGCTGCCTGCTCAGTACCATGCCTCTGTCAGAAAAGCACTACACTCTTAACAGTTTAGTTTCCAGGAGAAATCAAACAACTAAAATATCTAAATATCAGCAGCATGATAAAGGCAGGTAAATGAGGGGTTGTTTTCAAGATTAATGGATTTCATTTAGCTATTTCAGAAACAACTGCTAAGGAATAGAATGCTTAATAGAAAATAAAGTTTCTAATTGTAAGAAATGACTAAATAAAAAAGAACCTCCGAGAAAGTACCTTAGCAAGAATTTAACTATAAATGAGTGCCTGTTGCTCAATCTAAGGAACACTGATCAATCTTGTCACATAAATATGAGCGGTAGGTATTCTCTCTCCCCTAAGAAAGCAAAGAAAGAGAAATAACTCAGGCAATAACCTGTCAGACCACAAAGATGCAGAAAGCCCAATTTAAAAGGAAGTAAAAGAGATTTACATAAATTTTTAACTATAGATTCTAAGGATAGTAAAGTCTAGAGCAAACTTGCAATTAAAAAATTAAATATAGCCCAATAGATGAAACTGTACCACAGTGTACTCCAAACTCAAAAATACTGGACAGGAGACAAACATATAATGTGAAATAAATCACTGTGGATTTAGAGTTTATCTTTTAAAATGCAACAGCTAATAACCAGTCTGGTTTTGTTATAGGAAGAAGGAAATGAAATATCTGTTTTAACATAATGGGACATTAATTAGAATACCACAGATATATTTCTAAGTGGATAAAAGTTGTAAATCTGGAATACTGGTTCCTAGTCTCTCTTTTTCTGTGTGTGTGTATTTGTGTGTGTGTATGTGTTTGTTGAGTATTTAACAAAGGGCCTTATCTTGGTTACTTTTCTCTCATTGCTGAGACAAATTAGCCCATACCCAAAGTTAAAGGAGGAAAGATTTATTTAGCTCACAGTTTGTGGAGGTTTCAGTGCACAGTTAGTTGGCCCCAAGGCAGGATGGCATGGAAGAGGGCATTGCAAAGGAGAAACATTGCAAAGGAGAAACAGTTCACGGCAAGCAGGCAGGTGACAGCAAGTAGCAGGTCTAAGAGACTTCAGCAGCTTCTCTGTGCCCCTTTTAAGTTCCATCTAGGCTACTGAGATTAGGGCAGGTCTCACTGCCTATACACCTGGAATTCTTTTATTATTGTTGTATTGTTTTGGAAATAGGTCTCCTTATATAATTTACGTAGGCTTTGAACTCACTATGTAGTCCAAGCTGGCCACAAACTCACAGTGATCCTTAGGCTCAGCCTCCCAAGTGCTAGGGATATAGGCATGTACCACCATTCCTGGCTCTGGGATACTTTTAAATTGAAAGAGAAAGTAAACAAATTGGCAACTACTATAGGACTAAACATTAATGGTCTGAATTCTTGGTGTATGGGAACATTTAAATGTAAGAGGACAGACAGCTGAGGATGACAGCAACTAGAATTATAAGAAGGCAATACCCAGAACATCTCAGACTTGTTTTTGTAGTAGGGATCAAACTTATGATCTCATACTTACCAGGTAGGCACTTGAGCTGCTGAGCTAAAGCCTCGCCCTTTAGTCACTTTCTAATAAAGTAATATATACTTGTGGTTCTGAAATTATTCATTCTTTATTTGACCACAAAAATGCTTTTAAACATTTAAAAAAAAAATCTTGTTAAGATACGTGGCAAATTTCAAGCAATGCCAGATGTATAATATTTGCCTCTCATGGGTGCAATTTATTTAATGCTTCTATTTGTCTAGATTTGATATTCAAGGCAGAGAATGTATCAAATGCACTTTCATCTTCACATTTTCTAAGTTCTAGGTGATATGCTAAAAAACTACCATTTCAAACATCATCTCAATCTTGTAAGGCTAACAACCTACTATCTCCATTTTATAAATCATAAAGGTAACTAAGGCTGAGTGATGTGGAGCAACTTGTCCAAGGTCCCTGGGCCAATAAGCTGCTGAAGTTGGACACAAATGCAAGTGTCCTAAACTCTCCCCACACCTTGGTCTCTCCCTCCTCATTCATCCTTTTGGATGTATTAACCATTTGATACATGTTTAAAAAACTATACCAACCAGGGCCAGGGATTTAGCTCAGTGGCTCAAAGCACTTGCCTGGTAGATGTAAGGTCATGAGTTCGATCCCACGTACCAAAAACAAACAAACAAAAAACCTACACCAAAATCATATTCATGCCAAATAATATAAATAAGCAACTTTCAGTCTTCCCTGAAGAAAACTTTCATCAACAAATAGGACATCCACTAAGGGACATAGTCAAATGACTTCAGTGTTTTTAATTCTATGACAAAATAGTATTGTGAACCCCAAAGCTATTTTTAAAATGTTTTTGTAACTGAAAAATGCAGCTGCAGGTACCATAAAAGTAGTTTCTGTAACATACCAGTTTCATTTTAGTGAACTAAAACTTGACTACATGAAAATACCACCTTTGGGATGGCTCTTCTTTATCATAAATGACCTACAAGCTAATGCTGAATGTTGCATTCACTGTTTCCAAAACCTGTGAGAACTTGGATGAGTTACTTATATCAGAAAATGGGCCTGTGGTGACCATGAGAGTTTCTTTCAAGTGTCTTGGCAAGTTAGTCTCTTTGAAGCCTGGGGTGAGAGGAGGGATTGCCTTACTAAAGTCACTGTGAATCTCTCAGCTATTTCAAAGGGAGACCAAAGTGCTATCCCCAATGCCTAGACAGCTGGTTGGCCCTTGAGACTCCCTTTTAAACCACAGTGATAAGTCAATAGCTGCTATCCCATGGGGTTCCACTAGACAGAGCTTAGAGGACTTAACATTTGAGTGTTTCTTTCTACACTGTATTTTACTTTTTTAAATTTTAAAATGAAAGAAGAATAAAAACGATGACACAGAATTTCAAAACAACATAATTGGAACATAACTGGAGATTAACAATGGTTAATATATTACATATTGTTATCTTCAAAGTACTTGCTCAGATTACAAGATATAGGCATAAAAATGATCAAATAATTAAACATTGGAAGCACAAACCATTTTTTGATGAACTAACAGAGATTAGTAGTATAGTTATCTAACTGATATGTATATAATCTTTTCCCTTCTTTTTTTTTTTTTCTTCTTTCCCCTATCCCAGCTGTTCTTTCCTTTTGAGCAGTATTTTCCCTTTTAACTATTTGAATATTTTAATAATGTTAAATTCTGGACATTCTTTGAAAGTGCTGACTGCATTGAAAAAAATAGGACACTAATTTTAAAAAAGTAGGCCATAAATTCAGTATTTCATTTTCAGACAACTTAAAATAAATGACAAACTGTCATATCTCTAGGTCTATATCAATCTACACTATATGCACACAGGAAAATCAAGTTAGCACATTTAACTTTTACATATTCATACATTTTTTATAATAATTATATATGAACACACACAAATTATTGATTTTGAGTGTTTAATAACATAAAAATCATTGGCTTTGTCTATAGACTTAGCCCACAAACTAATCTTAAAAAGTAGACAGGAAGGGCCGGGGGTTTTGCTCAGGGGCAGAAGCACCTGTTTGGCAAGCTCAAGAATATGAGCTCAATCTCCAGAACCAAAAAAAAAAAAAAAAAAAAGTATACTGGACATGTCAGATGCCTGCTTTATATTATCCACTAGTTCTGACTGGAGTGCTGGTACTCTGGAACATATGGATTAGAATAAATGCAAGAAAAAAGGGGAACATTAGGAAGTTGAAAAGCAAAATGGAAAAAAAAACAACGAAAACTTAAGGTTTCAACTGTACTTCAGTAAGACTTACAGATCACCAGTCCCACCAAAAAATGTTTTTACCTAAAACTCCTCTGCAAAGCAATCACAGCAGATGGAAGCTTCTTAAGTCTCTTTCTAGTCTGGAAGCCCTTCCAATAAGCTTGAATCAAGCAAGCTGCTTGATGTAGTTTCTGAAATAATTCAACAGAAGTAAGTTAGAGGAATCTCTGGAAAAGCTTTTAAAATATATAGTTTACTTCTTAAAATATCAGGCAAGTATCAATCAAATCCCACCTCTAACAAGATGGGTAGGGAAGCAACACTAAGATCCCAGGCTCAGGACAGGGAAGGCCTAAGAACTACAGCTCGTCACCCAAGAGAGGTTTGTTAATGTTCAGTTAGACAACATCTAAAACATACTCAAAATATCATCATGTTAGCTCCAAATTCGGTCTAATTTTACTTCCTTTTCAAAGATTGAAGAGCTTTGCCTAATCTGTCATGGTTTTAGATAAATTTTTATCGCCTCAGCAACTCCGATGACCTTTTGTGGGTGGTTATTCAAATCTGTTTAGTTCTCTATATTTTTGGTATGCTGTTTTGTGTCTGTTCAGCCCTTGCACAGTGTGGAGATTAGTCTGAGCATTGTAAAGGATCACACAGGAGGGATCTCTTTCTCTGCTCTGTTCTTTCAGGTTGCCCCATCATTCTCCTGCCTAACTAGATTTCTTTCTTTCTTTTTTTTTTTTTGAGATATGGTCACACTGTGTAGTTGAGACTGGCCTTGCATTCACTATGCAGCACAGACTGGCCTCAAACTCATGGTGATCTTCCTGCCTCAGCCTTCCAAGTGACAGGATTACAGGCATGTGTCACCACACCCAGCTACCTAACGAGATTTTTTTCATGGTTTCTACTTATAGTCTTAATTGTATTAACTTTTTGGTTTGGGATTTTAGATAAACACCTTTTATTACCTTTGATAAATATCTTTTATTATTTTAGATTTAAATGTGTTTTTCCCTATACGTGTGGGAAAATAGTAACTTGCGGACTCAAACTTCTAATTTTTTTTCTTTTTTTTTTTTTTTTTTGTCTTTTTCCTTTTTATCGGTACTGGGGATCGAACTCATGACTGCCTGCTTGTAAGGCAGGCGCTTATGCCGCGAGCTAAATCTCCAGCCCCAAACTTCTAATTTTTATTAATACAGTTTCTTACATTGAGGCAAACCGCATTATTGTTGTACCTCAAAGAATAAGACAAGGCCATAAATACAGTTTTCTATAATTAGACATTTTTTTAAAGGATTGTTTTTGAGTTTTCTTTTTTTTCTTCTTTGAGACAAGGTTTCACTATACAGTCAGGCTGTCCTGGAACTTGCAGTGATCCTCAGCTTCCTGAGTGCTGCGACTATAGGCACATGCCATGACATCGGCTACATGTCTTATAGACAAAAGAAGAGAAATATCAGAGATGTGGATTTCATGAAAAATTCTAAAAATTGATGTGGTTGAATCTATAGTAGTTATAAAAGAAAGACTAAAATTATGGGAAGGTTGAATGGAAGAAAAATGAAAAATCTTATAGATGCTTTTCTAGGAAAGCATTTTGCTTAAGTATTAATAAAAAGGAATATTTAATGAAAAGTGAGGTTCAATACAATCAATTGGCAAGTACTGCATAAATCATGATTTTTAAACTTTCGCAGGTGTACTGCCAAAGCAAGCACATTATTTTTAAAATTTAATACCTGTTCTTCTACTTCCTGATAGATCTTAGGGTTTAAAAGGCCAATGAGCTGTTCAAATTCTTGACTGAATTCTGTCCTAATTCCTTGTGCGATTAGTTGATTTCTGAATCCTGAAATAGAATAATAAAAAGTACAATGATTAATAAAAAAATACCGTTTTCTCATCAAATCAGTATTAATTTGAACTTTAAGAAGTCTGGTTTAGAAATAAATGAACACAACAACAATCATATGATCTCTCTTTTTCTCTATAAAGACTTTGAGGTTGAGGTCCTTTGTATAATCCTCAGTCCTGAGAATTCTCATGTGCTTGCATGTAAGACTTGATATAAATACATATCTAAATAACCTCTTTAATAGAACAAAAACAAAAATATAAAAAACAAGAGAGGCAGTAGAATCACTGTAGTGAATTAAAGAGTACAGATAATTTTTTTCTTGACAATAAATACCTTAAACTGAAACATTTTTTAAAAGATAGATCCTTATGAACACATATACATACTCAGTATATGCCTACCCTATAAATGCATTTAAACAGGACAGTAGACATTTTAATTAAGATAAGCTACTATTAAATAAACAAATACACTAACATATAGTTTTGGGGCAAATCATTAGGTTTCTGAGCAAATACAGAAGTGCCCTAGAATCCTACATTTTTATCCCAAAATAACAGAGTAGTAAAGGAAGAAAGTAAGTACTATTTCTAAGACATGTTAGAACAGTATATGATAATATATTTATTAAATATAAATAAGTAGATAAAATGATCTTAATAGTGTACAGTTGGGAAAACTGCTATATGAGCTTTTCTACAATATCTTCTTTTTAAGATCCAAGCTCTTAACAGTATTGATAACCTCAAGAATCTTGAATAACCTGAGTAAGTTCTTCTATAGAGATATTAATCAAAGAAAGAAAGAAGGATTAGGTAAAAGTCCTTTGAAATGAACTCTTTTGGACATTTACCTTCAGTTGTAACTGCAGAACTGAAAAATGTTTATCTGGCATAATATCAAATAAGAGTCCTACTACTGGTATTTCTCTCCCTTTATTTCTAAATGTGTATGATAATCACTGATGCAATCTAAGTTACTAAAATGCCTTTAAATCATGAGAATGATTAAATGGCCATTCTCAATGTTTAGGTATTAAATATGTCATATAATTTTTTAAAGATATATAATATATTCCCTTAAGTATAAGAAATATATTTCCTGATAATGCTTAGTAAAAAATGTATTACAATTAATGCAAGGCTCCAGTCAGCAAATAAATAAAACAAATATATAATTTTGCTTACAAGTTGGAATAAATAACTACTTAAGTGATCTTGGGTAAGTTCTGTTTTTCCATGCCTCTTATTTTATATCTACTAAATCAGAGAGTCAGAAGTCAGAATATATGCCATAAGGGTTTTTATAAGCATTAAATATCTCAATACATGTACAGTATGGAGAACAGTGTTTTAATACATAGGAAAGGCTCGACTAAATAAAAGCTGTTGTATAATAGTAAAGCAATGGATCTTTTCATCCTCAAAATTTCTGACCTTTTTTGCATATGTGTTTGATTCTAAAGGCAAGGAACATTTTGTTAATTTTTACTTTTTTTAGGAAAGGCAATGAAGAATTAAAGAATAATTTAATTGATATAGACTGTAAGGTTACCCAACTCTTAAGCACAGTTTTATTTTAAACTATCTTGATAAGGTCACTGATCTGTTTGGTCCATGTTGTTTTTCCCTTTTGGTCAGTATTTTACTGTAACATATGGTATATTCATATACAACCTTTTTATCAAAGGGGGGTAAATATTTATTACAACTTCATCAACAAAGTACCACATGCTTTCTGTTGAGACATGAAGATAGATGTGCAGTCTTTTTTTAAAAAATGGTATCTGTTGTAATATGTTTTATCTCACAGTTCAGTGACTCACTCTTCAAAATATAACACTTTTGTGTCATAGAACACCAGTAAAATTTTTCTTTTGCGAACCCCAAGAAGAGAAAGTATGTGTATACTACCTTTGTAGCGGGTACTTAGTCTCAGCGCAACTAAAATGTCCTGATGGGATCGAGCTATCAACAGTAGCAGCTTCACAGCAGTGCTTCTTATGAACGGACTAGGGCTGAGTAAAAACTTGGAAATAACTTCATCTAAAATTGAATGCAGGATGTTCCCTTCTATTCTGAGTAGATCACCACTAATGGAACAAGGAAAAAAGTATCATTATTAATTATACAGTTATCACAACAAATTCAAAATAAAAGATTCAGCAACTTGATGCCTCCCTGTGGCCTGATCCAAAAAGGCAGCCACTTTTAAAAATACAGTTTGGTTGCAAAAATACATCATATTAAATAGTTAATACTTACTGAATTCATACTGTGTACAAGGTGCCATGCTAGGTACAACAGAGAATACAAAGCAGCCAAAGAAACTCCTCAGGAAAACTCTAAAGTATTAACAGCAAGTGATTTAAAGCGTCAAGGTGCTGACTGTGACACACATTTATAATCCCAGCACTTGGGAGGCTGAGGTAGGAGGATCGCTGCAAGTTTAAGGCCAGCCTGGGGAATATAGTAAATTCAAGGCCAGCTTGAACTACATAGTGAAATTCAGTCTTGAAAAAACAAAAACGAAACAAAAAGCTTCAAGGCAACAATAAGTAAAATCACAAGCAAATATAGAGTTGATTATTAACGATGTACAAAGATCATATGCTTAGTTTAGGAAGAACTTCACATTTTCTTCACTATTTTCTTCATTACATTAACAACTTTGTCTTACATTATTGAAGTCATAAAAAATTACCAAACACACAAACTGAGTGTTCTTTCACTAACTCCCTTACGAAGTTATGTGAGTGTACCTTTGGCTATTAAGATATCATACGTTAAGTTTGACAGTACTCAAATTAGTTACTGACAATGACAGGTAGAACAAATACAAATAGACCTACTCAACAGGAATGCAAATGATTTCTGTGCAGTAGAAAAGGTAATTCTAAAGGCTATTATAGGTTAGCCTTTTTTCTATGACTAAAATTTTAATGTCTATGAAAAAATTCATTTCTACAGTCCTATGATAAACCAACTCTATCAATCTCCCTTTTCAAATTCTTTTGCACCTGTATAAGTATCTTACCAGTCTCATTAACCAATAAATTGAATAAGAATTTTGACCAGTTAGATTTAGTATTTGCATGAGCCATACTGTTAGCTTTTTGAAAGTTATACCTTAGCAATGACCAACATGAATTTAAGAGAAAAAGAGATCAGTATCCTAACCTAAATTTAAACATCACAGAATTGAACGACTTTAAAAGTTATCTAATCAAAACACATGGGAAGCTCCACAACTGTTTCTAACACCTTAGTTTTAATGCTAGTCCACAGGCCACAGATTTTCCTGTCTTTTGCATGATTTTGTGTCATTATACTATTCAACACTCATGTAAAAAATATGTCCATTTCAGAAAGCCTTCCATACATATCCCTATCATATTACTTCTATTCTCCATATACTAGTTTATTTTATATTGTAATATATAATGTATATAATAATTAGCTTAAATATTTTTCAATGCCCTGCACTTCCTAATCCTTAAAAAAATATCCTCTTCAGGACACTAACTACCATCTTAATTGTTTGCTGTCTTCTGATACAAACTTCCCTGTCTTCATTTCCTTGCTTCTCATTCAGTTCTCAAATGACTGCATTCTTTATTACTATTTCATTTAACTGCCTTTAATAAGCTCACTTCCTTTATATATCTTCTCCAACATTAAGGCATCTACTTACCATTAAGTGCTAGTCTTCTGGGACCTGTTTCTACCAGATCTCTACCCACTCTGCTTTGTGATACACTGTTTTTTGGTTCCCTTTCATTCTCTGCCCATACATTTCTGACCATTCTTTTCAGTTTCCTTCATGGATGCCCCTTCTCTGGTACAATATTTAAAATTTATTCCCCAGCACTCTATTTTCAACATATGTATTTTCATATTCAATTCATATTTCCCATTGTTTATGTTCTTAACTATCAATAAGCTCCTAATTTGGAAATCTGTAACTCTAGTCCAGATGCCTTCTGTAAGTCAGTTACTAACTCACCTGCTGAGGGACATCTGAGTGATTTCCAGACTTTAGGTATTACAAATAAAGTGAAAATGAACATTTATGTACAAGTTTGTGTATATACTCTTATTTTACTGCCTGCTTGAGTGTCTTTCTCAACATGACACTGAATTCATCACCTGTCTCATAAAACCAAGTCTTTATACAAACTACATACTACAGTCTGTTGAATCACCTATAAAAAAACCTGCTGTCACTCTTGACTACACATTTCATCTTATTCCATATCAGGATGCCATTTTTAAAAATAGCTTTATTAAAGTATATATAACAAACTGAAGATATTTAAAGGATACAATTTGATCGGTTTGATATTTTAACCAAAATACACTAGAAAATGAATGTATCCAAAACATTCTTTAGGCTTCTGTGAAGTTCATTATAGTTTTTCCCTCTGTGCCCTAATACTCCCCTCCCCACTCAGGCAACCACTGACCTGCTTTTTTTCACAACAGTTTGTAATTTGAGGAATTTTACATAAAGGGAATAATACAATATGTATACTTTTTGTCTAGCTTCTTTCAATCAGCATTATTTTTATATTTATCTGTGTTGTCAAACAAATAGTTTACTTGTTTATTATTGGATAGTATTCCATGATATGGATATGTACACTTCATTCACCTACTGTTTGACATCTGAATTGTGTCTAGTACCTAAGCATTATGTAATAAATAAAGTTACCATGAACATTTGTGTGCAAGTCTTACGTGGCTATTTTCATTTCTCTGAGGCAAACATGTAAGAGGAGAACACAGATAATATGGTAGGAAACTGTAGGCTACTAATAAATGGCCAAGGTATTTCCCATAGTGACTGCACATCCCCACCAGCAATCCTTCATTTCCTAGTCAATAGTTGATTTGGTGTTATAAATGTTAGGCACTTAATGAATGTATAATGGTATTTCTTTACTAATGATCTTGCCAAAAATCTTTTCATGCTGAGTATTTACTATCCATGTATCTGCTTTTATTTAGTATCCAAATATTTTGCCCAGTTTTCAAATTGCCTTTTAGTAAATTTTGACAGTGCTGTATATTTTCTAGATTCAAGTACTTTCTGGTTCATTACAGTGTCTTGGAAGAACAGACTTTCAAAGTTTTGATGAAGTCTAATCATTTTTTTATTTTGTGAATTTTTACTCTGGTGTACTTTGGATATATATTCTTTCCTAAGAAGCCAAGAAATTTTGTTCAAAGATTACAAGGGTTTTTAGACTATTTTTCTGCAAAAACTTATATTTTATATTTTACATGTAGATCTTTGCATATTGATAGCCAATTGTTTCAACATCTTTTCTCCACTGATCTTTATACTTCTCTTGAAAACCACCTGTCTGTGTAAATGTGAGTCTATTTCTATATTTGGTTTCACCGATATATTTGTAAGCCTTTGTGCCAATAATACATTTAAAAATCTTTATGCCTTTATAAATAAGCATCAAAATTAGGTAGAGTTCTCTAACTTTGTTCTTAATTTCAAAGTTGGTTAGGCTATTTTAAAATCATTTGATTTTCATATGAATTATAGAATCTGCTTGTCAATTTTTATAAAAATGTGATTTTGATTGGGATCATGTTTATCATATACATTGTATCTTCCAATTTACATGTTATTTCATTCTATAAATGTCTTAGTTTCTAGTGAATAACTCATATTTTATACTATATATTTTATATTTCATTGTGTTAATTATAATTTTAAAAACTTTAATGTCTGAGTGTTAACTGATACAAAAATATTTCTGTATTGATCTTGCATGCTACTGCTCTTTTCAGATTCACTCACTTTTTTTAGTACTGAGAACTGAACTCAGAACCTTGTGCTTGCCAAGCAGGCACTTGTTCTGCTGAGCTATATTCCAAGCTGAACTCATTCACTTTTAGAAGTTTCTTTAAAAAAGAAAAAAAAAAAAAAGGAATGGATGTTAGAGTTTGTTAAGTTTCTTCCATCCCTAATGATACAATGATACGGCTCCTTTTATGATTTGTTGACATAATGAGTAACACTTACTTTAGGATATTAGACCAGACTGAATTCCTGAGATTATCCTACATTATTCATGATGTATTAACTTTTTAAAATATTGTTGGATTTGACCTGCTAAAATTTTGTTGAGAATGTTTTCATTTACATTCATCTGTATGCTATTTCTTACAATGTCTTTGATTTTGGTGTCAGTGGGCAATTTTAGAATCAGCCAAGTACTTTTTCCTCTTCAATTTTTCTAGAACAAAACATTAAATTATTTCTTCCTAAGTGATTGGTTGTACTCTTTTTTTTTCCCTATCATTCTCTCTATAGGTCTATTAATTTCATACATCTCCTCAAAGATTTATTTATCTCATTTATTTTTTGTAATTTTCATTTGCTATTCTGTATGCGAATTGATTTTAGTTTCTTCTTTGTATATGCTGGTTCTTGGGGTCTTTGGGGTATTCTACCAATGAGCTACATTCCCAGCCCTTTTAAAAATTCTTTTACTTGAGATAGGGTCTCAATAAATGCCTGAGCAGGCAAAATTCCAATTTATAAGCCTCTGATTCAGCCTTTCAAACTACTGGGATTACAGGTGTGCACCACTGGGATTGACTTCTGCTTTGATTTTTACCATTTTCTATGGTTTAGAATTTAATTTTTCCTTCTTTTCGTAGTTTCTTAAAGTAGAAGATGAAGTCAATGATTTGAGTTTTTAAAACTAGTTTAGTGATTAAAAAAAAGAAGTTCCCTTTGTTTTAATCAAAATGCATCCAAGAGGGCTGGGGATATAGCTCAGCAGCACAGCGCTTGCCTGGTAAGCAGGAGGTTGTCTGATCCCTGCTACAAAAAAAAAAAAAAAAAAAAAAAAAGATGCGTCTCTTGTTTTCTCCTGCTGTTTTCATTTCTGTCTACTTTCACTGCTGTTTTCATCTTTATCTTATTGGTTATGCAGATGTATGTTACTATTTTCCATATATCTGTAGGCAATTTCTATAACCCTGTTCAGTTGCGATACTTTGAAATGGTTTAATCCTTTCAGTCTCGCTTTTAGGATTGGTTTGCTCTGGAATGGGGCTTGGTTTAATGCTAATAATCCCCAGTACCAAAGTGAAACCTTCTTGAATATGCTAGCCAATGCCCCCATGATGTTTTCAAGTTTGGCAGTTGCCAACAGGCACTACCTCCCAGTCTCGTGTGAGCTGCTGGCACCGTTACTTTTATCCTTTCTGATGAATGTTCTCCTACATTGAATAGTTTTTTTTCACACATATGTGCTCATTTAGTACTCTACTGCATATATACTTCAAGTGAACCCTTTGAAGATCTCTGGTATAGTCCTCTCTTCTCTAGTATTTCATCTTGTGAGCTCTAGAGATCTTATTCTCCTAGATTCTCAGCTGTCTCTCTCCAATTTAAGCTGGGACATTCTTCACTATATCCTAGCCTAGAAATGCTTTCAATACTCTGTCAAGGCAATTGTGAGCTTCACTTTTGCTATAGTTTGGGTCTTGACTGTCCTTGGTTCCCAGGATGGTGCTATTGGGAAGTGTGGGAACTTCTGAGAGATCAACTCTGTTAGAGGTCCTCAGGTCTTTGTTCTTGAAGACAACTGTGGGACTTGGCTCTTTTTCTGTCTTTTGTTTCCTGACCATGAGGTGATTGGTTTTGTTCTATTATGTACTTCTGCCTTGATGTGCTTCTTACCACAGACTGAAAGCCATGGGGCCAACGGATCAGGGACCACAGCTTCTAAACTTTGAGCCAAAGTAAATCTTTTCTAAGTTTCTTATCTCAGGTATTTTGTTATAGTGCCAGAAAGCTGGCTAATACAACCTCATTCATATCTCTTCTCTGGGATCATTTTTATTCATTCATTGATATTCAGTACTTTGAAAACAGATATTTTTGGTTCCCGTGAGAGTAAATCCACCCCTATTATTACATCTTAATAAAAACTGGAAATCAGGGCTGGGGATTTAGCTCAGCCGCATAAGTACCTGCCTTGCAAGCAGGCAGTCGTGAGTTTCATCCCCGGTACCGGAAAAAAGAAAAAAGAAAAAAAAAAAAATTGGAAATCAAGTCATGATGATTTTAATTCATTGTTTAAAAAAAAATCCATTCCCCAGGTGCCTACCCGGGGCCAAGATTTCATTTCTTCATTTGCATTGTTATGGTTGCTTCCTCTAACTGCTGCTTTTGTCTAGAGTTCTGTTCTCCTTGCCTTTTCTCCACAATCACCACAGTAACAAAATTGAATGTAATCTGACCATTTTCAAATACTTAAAAAATCTCCAATGCCTACAGTGTAAGATGCTTTTTTGTTAATATGCACATAAATTCTTTATGACTTAAGTATCTGCAGAACTTGCTAGCCACCTCCAACACTGAACCTTTCACCCAAGCAATGGTAAACTATCTCTGCCTTTCACCAGAAGCTTGGTGTTTCCTATCTTTGTACTTTTATTTATATTATTGTTATGCTCTATGCTTATTGCCCTAGTAACCTGAAGCACTGACCACATTGTTATAAATTAGTTATAAATTAACTGAAGCTTCGCCATACTGTTCTGTATGCATCATCACCTTAGTAACCTGTTTGCTGTGTCAACCATTGTTCCCTTTGTGAGAGACAAATGTTCCTGGAATTAGCAGACCAAGGGCTGTAACTTAAAAAAAAAAGGGGGGGTGGGTGGGCTAACCACCAACTGCAAAACATCTCTGACCTCAAGCAAAGGGAAACAAAGGCCTTCCTAATTCCTGCTCTGTCACGTCACTCGGTTACTGTGCTATAAAAACCTGTCAAAATTCTGACTCAGATGCACAGCTTTGCAAACTCCATCTGCTCTGTGCCGCTGGGTACCAGCTAAAATAAAACACTCTTTTACAGATGTCTTGCCTCGTCCTCCCCCCCCCCCCCGCCTTCTTGGTAACAGACAACATCACAGGGCTTGTTTTTTTTGGGGGGGGTACAACAATTATTATTTCTGCCTAGAAATTATACTTTCCCTTCATCTTCTCTAGCTAATTTATCTTCCTTAAAGCTTCATCTCAGGTGTTACCTTTTCAAAGGAAGCACCTCCCCTCACTTTGGGTTGGAAGTTCCTGTAATACTTGTGGACAACTTTAGCACTGCAATGAGATATACTATAACTATGTTCATGTGCTTATCTCTTCCATTCTATTGTAGGATCTTTAAGGTTTATAGCACAATCTGCTTTGTAAGTGCAATGACAAACAGTGCTTGGCACTTAGTAATTACTTAATAAATCCATATTGAAGTGAAAAAATGAATTATTTCATCTGTGTACATTATATCTTTCAACTTTCATCTGAGCAAGTATTCTTTTATACTCTTCTTTAGTACTTATCATAATACTGAGCCTGTTGTCTGTTAAATAACTATGCAAGCGTTTTTATAGTGATCCCAGTATTTTTCTTCAGATATCATACCAGTTCACAAAGTCTCAGATTTAGCTTAAGATCTTTTTAATTTTACTGATATATGTTCACAATACATAATAATTACATTCATCCTGGGGAACTGTTATGGCTTTTTTATAAGATATGATATAAGATATCATATTTGAATAAGATATCAATTTGATATTTCTAACTCTTTTACAATATTTTACACAATTATTTTTTTCTGAAAGATAATGGTAATAGAACTTAAATACCATGTACAAGTCATATGCAATTGCTTTTAGCAAAATTAGAATAAAACTGCTTAGGTTTCTAAACAAAAATAAATAACCAAGTCACCTGTTGATTTGTAATATATTCTGTAGCAGAGTCATGACTGCAGATCCTATTTGAACATTGTCAGTTTGCAGTAAGTGTAAGAAATGATCACTCTGTAATACTAAAAGAGGAGATAAAAGAGATTAAAATAAAATTCCTATAATAACACAAGTGGGATTTTCTCCTTTTAAAACTAAACCAAAATATGACCATTTCTGCTAGATTTCCTTGTTTTGTATGCCATACAATTAAAGATTTTTAAGATATAGGCAGTTTTAAATAACTATCATTAAGAGTTATTCTATCTTACAAATGTAGTCAAACAAGCGTCTATAAATACCAAGGAAATAACTTATCTGTCTTTAAATTGAAAATAAAATAACTTATTCATCCAATCTCTAAATTTATCTAGCAATGAATTTTAGTGTAAAAATAATAATGAGCCAGACCCAAGCCTCACTCCGTGAGTCAGTGCCATCTGCGGACTGCAGAGGGAGAACCTGGCCCCACAGGACGGAGATCACACTCCAGAAATCATATTTTTATTTTTGGAGGGGGATTTGGATTTTTCTTTTTTTTTTGGTTATGTTAACTCTGATGGTACAAATAGCTAATTAAAAGATAGCAAGACACATTATGGAAGCCATTATGTAGTTACTACTGGCTTGTTTTTATCTTCTTTATTGCATTCATTATTTTGTTTTTATTGTTTGTATTCTATTCTGTTCTGTTCGACTTTAAAATGTCCAAAGGTGGTATCTGCAGCTATTTTGAAGACAACAAAGGAACTGTGGTAACTATTATTGATTTCATAAGGTTTGGAAGTCCTGTATCACTTATTCTGGTTTATTTCGATTGATTTTATTATTTTATTTTCCTTGTTTTCCTGTTTAAAAATTAAAAAAAATGAAAACATTAAATACAAAAATTTCATTCTAATGATTTATAGCTTGTATGCTTTGAGCAACCAAATATGAATACTTGCCATTGGCTGCTGAAGCAACTTGCTTAACCTCTCAGAATCTTCATTTCTTTAACTGGAAAACTAGAAATAAATGGCTCTTGCACAGCCCAATGCATAACTTCCTAGAATAGACTACATTCCCAATAAATGCCAGTGTTTATTTCCACCCTACCAACCAAATGAGATTAAAGTGCGATCAGGCATACTGGCAGCCCAGCTCTGTGGATCGTATCTTAGCTTCTAAAAAATCATTTTATTCTTTTTCCCTTTTTATCTCCTGAGAGAGTATAGTACTTGATTTCTTTTCCATAATTTCTGTTCTTCAATTTCTATGTATATAGTGCAACATTTCACTATACAATAGGTTTAAATGAAATAAATCAAACACGTGTAAATACTCGTCTCTCTGGTGTGAGAAACTGAAAGTATAAATTAGAGCTAAAAAATGGAGACTGGGGATTTAGCTCAGTGGCATAAGCGCCTGCCTTGCAAGCAGTAGTCGTGAATTTGATCCCTGGTACCGATAAAAAGGAAAAAGACAAAAAAAAAAAAAAATTAGAGCTAAAATATATAATAGGTATTATGAAATAGGAAGAAAGCCTTCAAAAGGAAACAGGAACTGGGGAGGGGAGTAAAATGAGAACAAAGCTTTGTAAATAAGGAGGGCAAGATGAGTTGAAGGGAGGGAAGAACAATAGGAAAAAAAAGAGGAACCAAGATATATCATTACAGGTACAAGCTCCTATGATGAATGTGATCATTATGTATATCTAAATTATATCAGTAAACTTAATTTAAAAACTCAAAAAAACCCATATCATTATTAAATATTTCTACAGCTTTTTATGTTCTGCTACTTTGGTAGGAAAAAACATTCTGTGCACTTACATGTATTTTCCATTTAAGACTGGGTACTCTTACAATTTTTTTAATCTATAGACTACTTTTCTGTATTTTTGAAATTTGCCTTGCAACCTCTTTGTTGAGAACTGTATCAATTGTCCTATGACAGGAGTGGCAAACCTATGGTACGTGTACCACAGCAGGCTATTTGTATCACTGAAAGCTCTAAAAGGTTCACCATCACTGCTCTATGAGATTCTCACAGTCTGGTTTTGTTAAATGCATTCCTAAGTATGAAGGGTTCCTCTGATTTTCTATAAATTGGCAGTTGGGGTTAGATGACTAAAATGATTCAGGTTTGAATTTCTGGCACGTATATTTTATCTGTTAAATTAATCCACCAGAAGAAACTTAATGTCTGGTTATCTTTTTTTGAGATGTTGACAGTCACAGTGAATCTATTCTTAAATCTGTTAATTCATGAAGAGTTATGAATACTACCCCATCATACATCTTTCACTTATTTTGCATAGAGAAAATTTTCCTCACCTATATGTAAGAAAATGCAGGTTAAATGGTTGGATTCTTTATTTACTAGTTTTAAGAAATGAAAACTAGTTCCCTAGCTGACACCAATGATGATTTATTTTTAAATCTCACTGTATTTGGTGTGTTTTAATCTACTATAGTTATTATCCTAATTACCATTCACATTGCCTTTATTTGTCTAATAGAATCATCCTTATTTTGGTTCCTGAGTTCCTGTGACAGAATGCTAACAGACTGAATATTTCTTTTATACTGGACATTTAAGACACTTCAGGTTCACCTTGTAAACTATGTATTCCATGCCAACATCTTGGCATTTCTCCAAGGAAGTGCTTCATTTTATAGGGAAAAGGTTGTAGGAAACCATGATTTTAATGTACTCATTTATTTTTTGCATATAAATTTTAGTCATTTAATATAATTTTAATACCTATTTTATGGATGCTTTACAGCTATAGATTAACTCCAAGAACAGTATTCCTTTTTCTATCACTCTTTTCAAAATGAAACATGGTATATTTCTGAAATTATTCAAGTAATTTTCTCTCTTTTTACTAGGTCTTTATAGACATAGTCCTAAGTACAAGGTTTAGTAAAGAATACTAAACCTTGGTTCACAAATGCTTCTATTCATGAAAAATTTGTGGAAAACCACTTGGATGGCTCTCCTTGAATGCAGAATAATTACCTCCACATTAGTTAAACCAGGCCCTATCTCCATGTACTGATATATATAGAGCTGGCTAAGCTATTTCCTAATCTCTTCAATTGGCTCTAAGCAATGTAAATAGGGTAGCTGAGGTAGCTAAGTGATCTTGAAGTCACCTGACAGTTTCTCATTTCCTTGCCTCATGTCTACCTATAAAGGGTTGAATGCATCAGGATAGCAGAGCCACACAGTCCCAGGAATGTCAACTGGGTTTGAGCTCAAGATGTGAGGCTATGACTTCCTAGGGTACTCCAGTTTACATATCAGGGGGCTGGGGATTGAGCTCAGCAGCTTAAGTGCCTGCCTAGAAAGTGCAAGGTCATGAGTTCGATCCCCAGTACCAAAAAAAAAAAGTTTATGTATCAGAAACTGAAGCAACAGCTTCCTAAACGTTCAAATGCTACCCCAGTTCCCAGTTGAGTTATACAAATTGATCTTTCTGCACACTTTACTCTCTGCATTACTGTAGAGGTGCTTTCTGGCCATCTCAGCTCACATTACTTACATAATTCCTGCCATTCTCACCAACATTCATCTTTGAGTCACTCCCTTCTTCATGAAGTAATAAATTCTGGGTGAGGCCTTGCGTTGAGGCCTTTGTCCCATGAATCCTTACCTAGATCAGACTCAGGACTCCTCTGCTGCCTGTTAACTATGAATATGTTTTAGTGTCTTCATTCTCCCCGTGGGTCACAATGGAGATGGTAGATTGGAATTAACTCACCAGAATTCCAATAACGTTTCCATCGAATTACAAATATAAACTTCCCAAACCATGAGGAGGACAGGAAAAGGGATTACAATATTTGAATTACAACACAATTCATTTCATAAACAAAATCACTGGGCACAATTTTGCTTTTGTTCTCCAACTCTGCATTGGGTAATGAATAAGACAATCTCCCCTGCCATGAATACAAATGCTGCCATCTTCCTAGAATTGTAGAACAAATTAAGTTTGTGAACTGAAGTAACACTCTACTTTATTATTGGTTAAATAGTCCTTTAGACTGGGAAGCTTATAATAATAATAATAATAATAATAATAATAATAATAATAATAGTACTTGTTCTATAATGAGAATCCAATAGAAAATGCTTTAAAAAGGTATTTAGGATTAATACTTAGATTTAACCACCCAGAGTATAAGTTATACTATTGAAAGCAGTAACCCTTAATAGGAATTGAAATAAGTCTGAGGGTCAGGATTGTTTTTCTTAATGATACTTATAGAAATATTTGACTCTTGCATGCATGCATGATTCTGAAAAAAAAAAGAATTAAAAACAGAAATTCAAGTGCTACTTCCTTTTTAAAAAGTTTTAGTTTTACATTTATGTTAGGAAAGATTTTTTAAAGAGAATAGGAGTTATACCATAATTATCATGAAAGATCTGTCTTTAAGAAATTAATATTAAAAACTAAAACATACTTATATTTCTCAGTGTAAATGTCATTATATAAAACTTACTCTTTTCTGTAACATCTTATTTAACATATTTAATACACTATTTCCTTCAACTGTTTTCATATTTGGAACATAGTTATTATATAAAAACCACAATTTTATAATTTTTCAGACTTACTTTGCAACTATTCACAAAAAATATGGAACACTGCCTGAATCTATATGTCATTTTTACACAGGGCTATGCTAATCTTCTCTGTATGGTTTTAATTTTAGTATATGTACTTTTGAAGCAACCACTGTATAAATCTAGTCTTACAGCTAGACTATGACTAAAATATTATTTACTCCATATACAGGGATTTCTCTCAGAGTTTACAGATTTATCTAAACCACTAAGTGTAATCTTTGAAACTTAAATTTTTCTTAGACTAAACTGTTCAGTTATTCCTTACTACAAATTGCTACATAGCAACAACTAAGAAGAAAGTTATGTCTTAGCAAATTCCTTTTCATACATCTATCATACTAATTCATGCTAATCAGTGCTAGTTATTTAAATCTGTGATACCCAAATGGTTTTTATTTTTTTTTCATGGGTTTATTCAAACATGGTTTTACTTCACAGTGGTATTGTGTATAATTTATAAGACACTTCTTTTTTCAAAAAAGGTCAAACTGTTAGCATTTGATTTTACAATGATTATCTGTTAAAAACTTTTCATCTTACCATTCTGTATGAGTTGAACATGACCTCCCAAAAGCCATAAGAAAGAGTCAGTCACAATTTGGAAAAAGTGCAGTAATTCATCTTTTTCTTCACCCTTAACACACACAAAAATCCAATTTACTTTTATGTAACTTGTTTAAATTTAGAAAAATAGACTTCTCTCTTGGGAGCCAGAGAGAAGAAACTTATTTCTAGACCTAACATAAAAGAACATAAGGCGGAACTAGATTTTATAGATTTTAGTGTTTTTATTTATGAAATTTGTGGTTATAGTATATTAATACTTACTCTACCTTTTATCTATGGTTGTCATTCAGATAAAATAAGTAGCTGACGCAATACCAGTTTACACAGTAGGAATTATTACCAATTGCCATGCATAAGAAATACCCATAGAGTTTTAAAATATACTTGTGCAGAAGTGTCAGTCAAATATGTTGAATTTGAATCTCCAAAGGTACAATGTAAACATCTGTATTGTCAGAAAGTAAGGTGTGTGATTTGATTATGTGACCAGGGCTGAAAACCACATGCAAATGTAGATGTCTCAAGAATTTCAGATAAAGTATACCTACTAATTAGATAACATATTAATATGTAATTTAACAACTGTAATATATGCTATATAAATGAAAAGAAATAATTATCAATGGCCTTAAAGGGGGAACATTAAGTACAAGTGCTTGGAAGAAAAGTTTATATAATAGTCTGCGCTATCCATGAAACAAGAATCATTTCATACATGACAAAAATAAGGTAAAGTTGGGGCTGGGGATTTAGCTCAGTGGCACAAGCATTTGCCTGGTAAGTGTGAGGTTGTGAGTTCAATCCCTGGTACCAAAAAATAAATAAATTAAATTAAATTAAATTGAAATAATGTGACTTGCCTAAAGGAATTTGAGTTAGTTTTCAGTACAGTTTAAAAAAAAAAAAGATTTTCCAAAAGAATTGATTGTTCAATACTATCTCTGATTGTTTATGTTGCTTCAATTGACCTGAATTAAATTAAATCTAAATAAATGTAAATGTTTATTTACTGCTAGTGTTCCTCAGATGCCAGTGGAGATGCCAAAAGTAGAATCTGTGACCAATGAGCTAAATTCTCTGCTAACAATATTTCTTATACTCAAATCAGCATGCTGTCCATGTTATTTGTTGCTCACTCAATCCTACTCATAATTAGCCTGGAAATTCCTTAAGTACAAGACAGTATCTATTCTCCATACAATCAAAGCTCACAAAATGGAGCATAACATAACATAGTGACTATAATGGACTGTTTGTGTCCTCAAAAATTCATGTGATGGTATTTGGAGGAGAACTGATCAAAAGACAAAGATAGCCAATACATACTGGTAAAGTGAACAATTCAACAGGAAGAGATAACAATTGTAACTATTTACACACCAAATATGGACACACACAATTTCATAAAATGAAATCTTCTGGAATTAAAAATAAAGATAGACATCAATACAATCATGGTAGGGGACTTCCATATTCCACTTTCACAACCACAAAGGTCCCAGACAAAAAAAACAGCAAAAAAAATCAGAGTTAAATCATGTTGACAAATGGAATTAACAGATACCTACAATGGTTCATCCAAAACCAACAATGTACATTTATCTCAATAGCACACAGAACTTTTTCCAAAAAAATACAAAAGAATCAAAACACCATCAAATCAGTGAAATCAATAGTATACAAAACCACAGAAATTATGCAAATATATGGAGAGTGAAAAATACATTTCTGAATAATCAATAGATCACAGAAGAAATCAAGGAATAAATAAATAAGTTCCCAGAATCAACTAATGAAAACACAACATACCAAAACCAGTGAGACACAATGAAATCAAAGGTTAAATCAAAGGTTATAGCTATAAATGTACATATTAAAAGAACAGAACAGGTCTGGGGATGTGGCTCAGTGGTAGAGCTCTTGCTTTGAATAAATAAGGCCCTGGGTTTGATCCTCAGAACTATAAAAATTTTTTAAAATTAAAAATAAAGTAAAAGAACACAGAAATCTCCAATAAATAATGATGCATCTTAAGGTCTAGAAAGACACGAACAATTCAGTTCTGAAGTTAATAGTAAGAAATAACGATCTATACAGAAGTAAATGAAATTGAGCCTTGAAAAAAGAATAGAAAGGGACAATAAATCAAAGAGTTGATACTTTAAAAAAGATCTGAGAGGACTTCCGGGAGAACATGGCGGACAAATAACAGCGGCCACGGAGGCTCTCTGAGATTACCAGTTTAGAATCCAGGAGTGGTGCCGCGTGAGGAGTCCTACGCGAGGGGATACGTACTCTGCCGACCCAGAAATGAACTAAGCTGAGAGAAACCAACTAGAAATGCAATCCTGATGCTATAACAGGAACAGATAAAATCTCAGTGCGGAAGCTGGATCCTGTGCCATTGGAAGCCGCGATTTGAATTTCCTGCTGCCGATACTGTGTCCCAATCCACACGGCAGGGAGAGAGACGTGCGAAAGCTCTGAGAGCTGGAATCAGCGAACCAAACGGCCTTGAGAGCGGGACTGGCAGGGAGCCCTGCATTGACCTGCGGTGAGTAAGAGAAATGGGGACCCTTTCATAGACTAGGAGGCTCCAACAGAGGACATTCTGGGAACGGGCAGACAAGCCGGAACAGGGCCCTGCAGTGACTTTAGTCGCATATTCCCCTCTCAAGCAGGAATGGTGGGGAGCACTTGACCTTGTGACACCACGGACTAAGATCCAGTAGGCTAGCCCAAATCAGGTCCCTGCGCCTGGCGGTGCACCCTAGCAGTGAAGCATTCAGTAGGTTGACTTGAAGGGGTGGGCCCAGCAGAGGCTGCCCAGGTCTGTGTCTCCCTAGTACACTGCAGTGGGCGGGAACAGCTAGCCGGCAGATTCAAACAAACTGTAACAGACAAAAGAGAAAAACAAAAAACAAAAAACAAAAAAAAACAACAAAACTGGGCCTCTTACATATGCTTGTATGGAAGGAACAAAAAGTATGGCAAAAGGGAGCAACAAGAAAGGGTCCTCAGTCCCCAATCCTGAGAACACTGATCCAGGAAAGGTAAATGCAAAAGAGAATGAAGACAGAAAACATGCAATATCAGACACGGCACCTATAGACATAGAGCGGTATCTCCAGAGCCTCATAGACGAGTTCAAAAATGAAGTATTTAATGAAATAAAGCAAGAAATAAGTAGAATAGTTAGAGAAATGCTAAGCACTGCCCAAGAAAAAAACAGATGGTGGAATGGAAGAACAGAAAAAAAGGGGATAATTGTTTGATGGAGAAAACAGAGAAAACACAGGATACGTGAAGCAGGTTCAAAGAGATTACCAGGTGGTAATCTCTTTGAATAGTTTTTAGGAAACTAAAAACTCTATTGAAAGCTGGCATAACAGCTGGAAAGAAACTAAGGATAGATTATCAGAACTGGAGGACAGATTTGTAATGTGGGAGCATGAAATGAAAAACTTCTTAAAAATAACAAGAAAACAAACAGCAATAATACAAAGACTAGAAGATGATAAGAGGATCTATAACTTAAGAATTAAGAACATAAAAGAAGAAGTAGGGACTCAAACAAATGAACTACAAAAGCTATTCACAGAAATAATCCAGGAGAATTTCCCTAATTTAGCAAAAGGTAAAGATACTCAGATGTATGAAGCATATAGGACTCCAGCTACCTACAACCCTAACAGAGCTACACCCAGGCATATAATAATCAAAATTCCAGAAATCCAATATAAGAACAGAATATTAAAAGCCGTCAAAGACAAGAAACAGATCACTTACAAGGGAACACCCATCAGAATTACAGCAGACTTCTTGGCACAAACCATCAAATCACAAAGAGCATGGGGGGAAATAATTCAAGCTTTGAAAGATAATAACCTCCAGCCAAGATTGATATATCCTGCACAACTGTCCCTAGAAATTGATGGAAAAACAAGGTGCTTCCAGGATAAAGAGGAACTAGGGGAATTTGCAACCACCAATTCAACTCTACAGAGATTACTGCAGGATATTCTAAAAATGAAAAATACCAAGATTCCAGAAACAGTGGCAGAGCGGCCACAATAAATGGAGCAGAAAGCGAAATGAAGAGGACAAACTGACAACTAATGACAGAAAAAGAGCTCAACAGAAATGAGGCAGAGAAGGTTGGATGGTAGGAACAGCCATTTTGGAGAAAACAAGACATCATAATAGGTAGTTTTTCATTTCATGCTCCCACATTACAAACCTGTCCTCCAGTTATGATTTAATATCCTCTTGTTTTGAAGTCCCATCAAGCTTTTGTTCTTTTGTCTCCATCGGTTTTAACGTGTTGTATCTTATTGGATTTTATTATATGTGATAATATAAATAAAAACTTTTATAGACAAGGAGATTATACAGAAACCATTGTTCATTTTCTGTTAGTTGACTCTAAATACCCTGTAATACTGTCATTCTCTTGAACGGTTTTACATTGTCTTGATACGTTTGACACTACAGTATACGAAGTTATACCCAAAGATTTTAAGGGAAGAGACACTATGGTAACTACTATTATGTTGAGATTATCTTGTGGTGAAACACTATTTTGCTTAAATGGCTTTGTTTTGACCTGTACTGTTTTGTTGTTATGCCCTCTTTTTTTTTAATCTCAATCTCCTTTTTATTATCTACTTTTTCATTTTTATCCTTTTAATTAAGGGAAAAATAAATAAAAAACAGCAGGATATATGATAGTAACCCACTTTGATTTCCTATTAACTTGATTTAAAACTCTATATTGCTCTCACCATCTTGTTTTGACTGATCTTCCTCTATTCTGTTATGCTTGATAGTACCAAGTTTGAAAGTATAGGCAACAACTATGAAGACAATAAGATTCATTGTGACACCCATTCTGGTTGACTATTATCTTCTTTTGAAATCCTCTAATGTCTCCAATGTTTTGGTTTTATTGGTCTTATTCTTTACTGTTTTGTTCAATTTTATTATAACTGATGATATAGGCAATTCTTTTTAAGATAACAAGAGGCATTGTGGTAACCACTGCTGATCACCTTGTATTTTGTTTTTACATTATGTATTATGTCCATCCTTTTGATTTGACTGACTCTGTCCTGGTATGTTACATTTGGTTTTACTTTCTTCAAAAAAAAAAAAAAAGTAGTAAGAACTGTGGGAGTAATAAAACCCAAAATGTGTAATTGTCATTGTACAAAAGAAAGGAAAAGTTCTCTAAAAGATATAACTGCATATATATTTAAGTGTATAACATAGATAAGATAGATAACCATATTACTGAGTTTTGTTGGATTATTGAACAAAACTGTTTGCAGTCTCACTGTTTGAAAGTCCCCTCTATATTCTTTAATTTTGTAACTTCAACAACTATTTCTAAGATGACAATATGTAATTAACTAGTGATTTCCTACTATTTTTTCTGAAATTCTGTATAACTTGTACCCTTTTTCTGTTTTTTTTTTTTTTTCTTTTTTCTCCTTAAATAAAATTAAAAAAAAAAAGATCTGAGAAAGAGAGAAATGGAAATGAGGTTAAGGAGAAATAAAAAAGATCTGGAAACAATATGTACCCATTCCCCCACAATGAATATGTTCACTGAATATTACAAAAAATATTTTAAAATGGGTAAAAAAACAAATTTTAGAATTATGAAAAAATTGAAAGTAAATAGAAATCATATAATCAATAAAATATGTGTAACAAAAGATTCACTATTTTTGGGTTTCAAGATAGATAGGGTTTCAAGAAGATAAGAGACAGCACAAGAAATGGTTAGTATCTTGAAGAGAAACCAACAGAAATTACACAAACTGAAGTAAACAGTAATAAGATAAATAGAGCCTTAACAACCGAAAGTCCTAGATAAAAAGGAGAAAGAAGGCAGGAAGAAAATATCTGAACAGACAGTGGCTAAAAATATTATTTTCTTTAAATTTATTGAGCCAGTAGCAGTCATGCATCCTCTGAAGAGAACCAAGAAGCCAACTCCTTCCTGTGAGACAGTGGCAGCTCCTCATCCCGGGAAGAGAACAAAAAAGAAGCCAATCCCATCTTGTGGACCAGCGACAGACATGGGCTGGGCTAAACCCCTTCCTGTGAGCCAGTCAGTGTGTGGCCTAGGAGACAAGAGATGCTAACACCCCCACCCCTGTGTAAGCAACCAGCTGATTTGGAGGAAAATAGCTGAGATGATAGCCACTGAATTAAAAAGAAACAACTTAATGCCTGCATTGTTTGATTGACTTTGCAGGCCTAAAACTGATAATATGAGTATCAATTTAGAGGATAACAATATGCAATATAGCAACTAAGGGGGATTTCCTTCTGAAGGTGGTAGCCTTGTATCTGGTTTAAAGTCCTGTACCATTTTCATTGTTTTGTTTTATTCTGTTTTGCATTGTTTGATTTTATTGTATCTGATGGGATGGGCAACTGTGTTGAAGATAACAAGCTATATTTATATTAGCTATTGCTGGTTTCCTTGTTTTGAAGTCCTGTTTTACTTTCTGTTTCGTTTTGATTGGCTTTATTCTGTTTTATTTTGTTTGGTTTTATTCTCTTTAAAATTAAATATATATACATTGGTACACACTTAGGTGTGCATAATGTAAATTCACTATAGGGAATTTGTACCTGTACAAGACACGTCTTAATTCTTTTTTCCCTATTCCCTACCTTCCCTTTAACTCCTATTCCCCTCCTTAGTTTCCTTTTTTTTTTTTCCTTCTTTTCTTTTTCCTTCCTTTCCTCCTTCCCTTTCCCAATTGACCTTCCCATTTGAACATTTTCTGCGTATTTCATAGAATCAGTCATACATTTGGGTCTTTATTTACACTTCTAGTTTCTCACAGAAGAGAAATAATGAGGTATGTACACATGTGTATCTGATTTATTTACTTAAAAGTATAGTCTCAAGGTACATCCATTTGATTAGAAATACCTCACATTCATCCTTCTCTATGGCTGAGTATTATTCCATTGCATAAAAACCCACATCTTTATCCATTCATTGGGTGATGGGCATTGGGCTGTTTCCAAGATTTAGCTATTACAAATGATGTGGCTATAAACATGGGTGTACATATATCATGGGTGTATCATATAATTCTTTCAGGAAGATACCAAGAAGGGGAATAGCTGGGTCAAACGGAATCTCTAGTTTTAGTTTTTTTAAGGACTCTCCACACTGTTTTTGACAGAAAAGCCTGGGTCTTGATGGATTCACTATTGACAAGAAATTTAGAAGGCCTACTGATACTACTTCTCAAAGTCTGTAATTAAACTGAATGAAAGCAATACTCCCAGATTTATTCCTGGAAGCAAGCACTGTGCTGATACCAAAACCAGAGAAGGATGCAACCTAAAAAGAGAAGTACTGGCTGATTTAATAAACATAGATATAAAGATTCTCAATAAAATTAAGGCAAACAAAACACAGCAAATTATCATGAAGATTATACACGATGACCAAGCAGGATTCATCCCAGGGATGCAGGGATGGATCAACATACACAAACCAATAAATGTAATATACCATATTATCAGAGCCAAGGACAAAAAATCATATGATCACCTCAATAGATGCAGACAAAGCATCTGAAAAAGTCAAACATCCCTTGATGAAATAAAAAACTCTATACAAAATTGGAACAGATATTCTTTATCTCAATCTGATAAAAGCCACCTACAACAAACCAACAGCCAACATTATACTAAAGGACAAAAATTGAAAGCTTTTACCTTAAAAATCAGGAACAGAGAAAGAAATAAAAGGGATAAGGATAGGAAAGGAAGAAGTTAAATTATCATATTTTGTAGATGACCTGATACTCTACATAGAAGACCTCAGAAACTCTAGATTTAGTAACTGTGTTTGGAAGCAAAGCTGAAAATATTCTTCATGCGAATAAATACATTAACTCAGTTAAATGAAGCAAAGTAAATATGAAGAAATTCGTACCATGGCTCATAAAGGAAAAACTGCTGTAAATCAAAGAGAATAGAAATGTGAGAGATAAATGTTATAAACAGATAAGAAGAATAAAGTCTGACAATACTAATGAAGACTGAATTTACAATAAAAACAATACATACAAGAAGACAATAAAACAAAATCTTTAAAGTACAGAAAGGAAAGATAAACCAAGATGAAATGCAGAAGGCCATAAAATGGATCTGAAAAAAATACACAAGATTTAAATGATTTAGAGAATGCTATATGACTACACTAAAACTAAACTGGAACTTAATGAAGTACCTGGATAATCTTCATGTATTTGAAAATTAAGCAACATATTTCTAAACTTATATGTCAAAAGAATGTATACAACACCTGGCACAATCCACCCAAGAAATACTTGGAGTCTAATATTTAAAATGAAACATGATGATTAGAGAAGAAATTTGAAAAATTAAATTGAAAAAATACTTTTATTTTTCTTCACCATTGGAACTACTAAGAAAACAAATTTTCCTCCAAATGTAGAAGGGAATGACAACATAATTTAAGGTGAAAATATGTCAGCAAGATGCTATGGACATAGTTATTATGGGTGATGTCCAAAGTTTAGTATGAAAGAGTCTTCAAAAAGTTTTATAGCATGATTCAGCTATCATTTAAAATTTTTGAAATGTAGAGATGTTTTTGCTGTAATTTTAAAAATGATTAAATTCATTTCTCTAATTATACTTTGTCACATACTGCACATGTGAAAAATAATGAATTTAAACAATTAGTTATAAAACATACAACACTAAATAAACACATACCTTAGCTGTATTGATAAAACATGCTTGCAATTTTTTCCCCAAAACTAAAAAATTTTCTGCAGCTGATGGAAGTATTTCCTTGTAAAATTCCTCTGCATCTTCTCCTGGCTCTAAGCCCACACAGCAATGGCTAAAACAAGAGCACAGGTTTGTGTTAATCATAAATTTCAACTGAATATTAAATTTATACAGACACAGTACCTTAATGAGCATCTCTGGCATTCATCTTTTGTTGCTAACCTAATAAAAATCTTGTTGGACAATCAAACTAACAACTTTCTAGAAAAGTAAACTGTGGTGTAGACCTCATATGTATTTTAGGTTCAGGATGTGTACTTTTTAAACATTTTTTTTCTTGCTTTTGTCTGATTTTTGTATTTATTTTTTTCCAAATCCTTTTTATTTAAAGGGTTAAAAGAAAACAACACTACATCCCATGCACCAGATGACTTGGGGAGAGCCAGACGTCAGCCCTTTCCTATGAGTTGGCACCATCTGTGGACTGCTGGGGAGGAGAACAATTCAATAAGAACCTAAGATCTTCCGTGAGTCAGTGCCATGCACAGGCTGACTGGGGGCCAGCCAGACCCCAGTCCCTTCAGGCACACAGGCAGGCAAACAAGAAGAGCCAATGTTCCCCCACCCACCCCATAAGCAACCAGCTGATCCAAAGAAACACAGGCTGTGATGATAGCTCAAGAGGTAAAATATAACTTAATGTTTGTAATGTTTAGTGTTCCACTGACTTTGCAGACCTAAGGACAATAGTCTGATCATCTCTTCAGAGGATAACAGTACACAATGTAGCACATATGGGGATCTCCTTCTAAGAGTGGTGGCCATTGTTTATTCCCTATTATCTTGTTTTTATAACCTGTATTATTCTCATTGTTTTGTTTGATTGGGTTTTATTCTGTTTTATCTAGTTTGATTTTATTGTATCTGATGACATGCGCAGCTATTTTGAAGATATATTATGGTAGCTATTTTTGATACACTATTATCTTGTTTTGAAGTCCTGCATTGCGTTCATTGTTTTGTTTTTATTTGTTCTATTCTGTTTCTGTATTGTTTGATTTTACTATGTGTGAAGGTATGGGGAGCTACTCTGAAGGCAACAAGAGGGACTATGATAGCCATTGTTGATTTCCTTGATTATCTTGTTTTGAAATCCTGTGTCACACTGTCTTGTTCTGACAGACTTTATTCTGTTTTATTTTGCTTGGTTTTATTCCCTCTAAAATCAAATTTACAACAAACTTTCAAAACACATCAATCAGGGGGCAACAATGGTACATACCTTGTGCATTGTCATCCCCAAATCATTCATCCAGAGCACAAGATATCTGCATTCAACTGTCTGAACAATAACAGCACAAATCTTTCTCTTCAGTGAACTCAGAGAAATCAGTAGTATAACTTAACTACTTTTTTAATATACATATTCATGTTTTTTCTTTCAGCTTCTCACACTATTGAAACAATAAAATATTTACATATGCATGTCTTATTTATTTCACTGAATATGTTTTCAAGTTGAGAATGTGCATATTTTAAAAATCAACATGCCAGCCCTTTGGGAAATGAAAGTCACTTGGCTCAAAAATAAACAGAAATGGATGGGGGTTTAGCTCAACGGCACAAGTGCCTGCTTAGCAATCGCAAAGTCTTGAGTTCAATCCCCGGTACAAAAAAAAAAGAAAAAAGGAATGAGTTAAGTTTTCAGAGAATTGAATATAATCACTCTAAAATCACTATATTTCAACTTCTTAATTCATGAATAGCATTTCTGTGAACCCAGGGCAAGATTAACAATCAAGGGACAGATAAAGAAATCAAACATTTTACTGTTACTTTATACCAATTCTACTTCCCAACAGATCTACTTTCCTAAGATCTGAAGATTACCTACCTGTGTATTCTTTATATTAAAAGGAAAACAACAAAAACATAACTCCTGAAAGTTTCCTTAGAATATACATTAAAAGAGAAAAGTCATTTAGAGAAATACATATTGAAATTGCACATAAAAGCTATTCCTTGGTTATAAGTTGAATACATTCAAAAGTCTCAATAAAAAGTATTTGCACAGTAGAATAATATCAAAAAGAGCTCCAGCCTAAGAATAGGTTGTAGTCCAAAGAGTAAGTACTGCTGTTTGAGTCATTTCAATAAAGTATGCAGACCCTGACAAGGAATAACAGCCATATATTAAACATACTGAAAACCAAATTGGCTAATGTTTTTATGTATCAGCTTTTATTTCCTCTTTGGTTCTTAAAATTTATTTAGGAATATCTTTTTATAAAGAATATTAAATATAAATATCAGTATAGTCATGAGCCAGTGTATGTACTCAAAACAAAAATGTAAGGCTTTATTTTCTTAAGAAAATCATTCATGTTGAAAACTAAAGATTAAAAAAAGTATTATGTATATTTGTTAGCAGTTCTTTGTAACTGTATAGTTTTAATTTGGACTTTATGTAGTAATAAAGTAGGAATAAACAGTTTAGAAAGTTAAGAGCATGACAAAGTATAAATGTGACAAGATCTCTGTAGTGGAGATAGTTCATTAAAATCTAATAGCTTGTTAAAATAAGAAAACAAGTTAGGGTATAGTCACAAAATACACATTTTCAATTACTTGATCAGGAAGTAGCTTATGCACTGAGACCATCTGGTTTATTTTATTGCCATCTTTTAAAAAATGATTTTGTTCTTCCAATTTTTATAGCATGGAAATAAAAAAGTAAATGTTGCTTTTAAATTGTATTGACAGAATTTGTGTTACCTAATGATTATAGCTGACAGCAAAATCAAGATGAAGTTTAGCATCTATTTTGCTGTTCACTTACAATAATTGTTATTCACTCTCTATTGTACATTTCTCAAGTAAAGAGCCAGTGCTTTAATTTCTATATTTCTTCAAATATTCCCAAGATAATAAAAATTATATTAGCCACATTAGATTCAGTGGTGAATAAGAAGAAATAATCACCATCTTCAAAACACTTATGGAGGGATATTTTATTTCATTTCATTTCATTTTTGGTACCAGGAATCAAACTCAAGACCTTGTGTTTGCCAGGAAGGTACAGAGGGAATTTTTAGACAATCGTGCATAGCATTACTAACAGTAACAGTAACATTAACATATACAGATTTACCAAAGAAAATGTACTCATACTTCTGGAAAATAAAAATAATCTGATGTTTTTCAACAGGTGGTATTACCCTCACGTGAGGGATGCTAAAAGATGTGATGTATCACAAAAAACCCATTATACTGCCTTGGTGAATAAATTGAAAATGTATGTATGGGCAGCAATCCCAATGATCAAGGTTACCCAAGCAGTAGTTCACCATACAAATAAATGTCTAATGGCCAACACTCTGAGCACTTCCTGTAAAAGGTAACTTGTATTACTCTCACGATATATCAATACATTTATTATTAATTATTAAACTATTCATAATTTTTTTCCTGCAGTGTTTATACATTTCTTTTGGTGGACTCTATAGTATGAAAGAAATACTGTAATATAATATCCTTCATAGGCGGTTCAAATTATTGTTAGAAAGATGAACAAAAAAGCAGAAAATGTTGAAAATTAGAAAAAATTCCTCAAGAACAGGCTGACTTATTGCTTCATTTTACCTTATTATCTGTGTAAGCTGGGAAATGGTAGTCCAACCACCCTGGATTCGAGAACAATCTTGCCTGAGGACCAAGAGGCAATACTGAATGAGGTCGTAACAATATATATCTTGTTTGATTTTCTTCAACTCTGAGCTTCCTAATGGCGTGCTGTTTATTATTTCTAAGGCAAAAGAAAAAAAAAGATACCTTTTTTTTGCTTAGTGTTAAGAGATACTTGATTTTTACATATGGATCACTTAAACTATATTCAAAAGGAAAAAACTACTGCTATACTGCAGTGTTAAGATTTATCTAAACAAATATTAAGATTATCAAAGATAGAACTGCTTTTACTTTATAGTGTTACTTAATCAGAGAATTATTTTCTTACCTTGTAACTTCAGCAAAATAACAGGCACATTCTGCTCAGGACTTTTGGCAACTTCAGCAGCTAGAGATAAGATCCTTGAGTCTGTACCTGCTGACTTCATTTCTCAATCACCTGTATTTTAATAGAATCAGAAAATAAAGATCAAAAAGCCCTCAAGTATTCCCTCCATAAATAACTCTTGAAATGTAAGATTAATATAAATGAAAACAGCTTTTTTTGCCTTGCTTGAAAGGGTAGATTTTGTTTGTTTTCCTTACAGGGAAACTTTTTTGGATAAGAGCAACTCTAAAAGAATTCTAGAGCAGCTAAGATTTAGCTCAGTGGCCTAGTAAACACGAGGTCGTGAGTTTGATCTCTGATACCCAAAAATATAAGAATTCTAGATCTCTTTAGCCACATGTAACAGTTACAGTTAGTACAGTTATTATGTTCTAGGAGTCAGGGACTGTGCTATGAGTTACACATTCACACTAATCTGCACAATTCTAGGATAGAATTCACATAGCATAAACTGAGTGCGCAAAAAGGGAATCATATGGCAGACCTAAGACTACTACCCTTTCAGAAGTCTGCTTAGAGAACGATCTTTGGCTGGCATCTAGAATGTGCATTTCATGAGCATTCTGCTATTTTGGCTTTTGTTTTTTCCTAAAACAGGATTTTACTATATAATCAAGCCAGTCTTGATCTTGCTACAGAGCATATTTCCTGCGAATGTGTGGGTTGGGAAAAAAAAGTGTGATCTGAGTACACATATACACACATAAATAAACACTTATAAAATTCTTAAGTATATAAAATATATGTTAACTGCTTGATAGATGACATAGGTAAGAATTTATACCATACAACCAAAGGATTCTAGTTCTCTGTACCAGTTTTCTTATCTGTATTATCTCCTACCAGAGAAAGTAGCCACTAATGGTAGTTTTAGGCTCCAGAGCTGATTGTTTACCTTCCCTATGAAACAGTGTACCTTAGAACAGTGGAAGTTATAAAAAATTTGAGGGAAGACACATGTGCTTACCTACCTGGGACAATAAACTGACAAATCTCCCTAAGATAGAAGACAGTACGTAAAGGTATGTAATTTGATTAAAGGATTACCCTAAAAAATAATCATCTAATATTGCAAGCATTTGTAAACTTTTCTTGCGTGTTTCTCCACTATACAGTGCTTCTCCCATTTGCACAATATTTTCATGAACACTGATAATAAAAGACAATTACTGGCGGTTATTAATGGTATTACCCTGTTGCCAAAACACCAGTTCTAGCCTCAGCCTTGATTTTTTAGGAATCACCTTTCCCTGGCCGGGCTTTCTTCAGCACTTCCACGAATCACTCTGATGAAAATAAAGAAAAAAATTGAACACTATGCAGTTAAAGTTGATCGTAATCCTCTGGCGTTAACTTCGACTCGTCTTTTTCCCCTCCTCCAGTCCTAATAACACTGACAACTTCCTCTGGCATCTCAGGGTTAGAAAACGATTGCCAAGGTAACGGCGTCGCTTTCAATGAGTTCACAGCGCCGTAGCCCTGGGGCCGCGGGCTCCTTTTTTCCCGAATTCCAGACCTGGCTCTGGCCGTAACAGACCTCGCACAAATCACCAGGCCTCATGTCCCAAAACACCGCCTTCCGCGGGCCTCCGCTTCTACCCCAGATCTCCACAGGAAGGCCACGAAGCAGCCAGTTCTCCGGGTTAGAAGTCACACAGGCGGTTCACTTGGTCTAAGAACCTGACCGCCCAGAACCCAACCGCCCGCTGAGTCCCCAGCCGCCACCTTTGTTCACCTATTCCTGGATTCTCATTCCTCGCCTTCCCGCAAAGCGCCCCGCTCCCACCTAAAGCGCGAGCAGGATTTTGCTAGGCAGCGTGCGTCACTACGCGGGAAGGGACTGAGGGGCGGGACCAGCAGCCTCCGGGCCAAGGGGCGGAACGCCCTTCGCCAGACAGCCAATCGGGGAGTGCGCGTCAGGAACGGGGCGGGGTCTGTAGTGGCTGCTCCGGCTGTCTGTCACAAGCACAGCTGTTTGGGGCTCAGGTGGCAGACGGTAGCGCAGGTAAAGTGCGAGCTGAAGGAGAGATGAACGGACCAGCAGGGCTTGTGCACTTGGGCCGTCGCGAGCGAGTTCTCAAGTTAGGCGAGAGTTTCGAGAAGCAGCCGCGCTACGCCTTCCACACTGTGCGCTGTGAGTGAGGACTGCACCAGGGACCTACGGGGGGCCTCCACGGGTGGGTTAAATTCTGTCCCTGCAGCCCCCTGGCTCTTTGGACGTGCGGTAGGGGCAGGTGATCTGCCGTGCTCTCTGGAGTCCTAGGGGCCCGTGGAGAGACTTGGCATGCAACAGGTGTGGGTAAACCCTGAGTAAGAGCCACAGACGGGAAGGGAATTTACAGGGACCTGCAGAAGTGATGGAAGGAAGGATGCCAAGTGGAGGATGTGCAGGTGGAAGGAAAAATGACATGATGAATGGAGCAAAGGACCGAAGGCAAGGCTGGTGGGGCAGCATTCTCTTTCTTCACTTTTTCTCTCCTCTGATGAGAGTTTTTATTTAGAGTGATCTTGGGATGAGATTCTCAACCATCCCAATAATCTATCGCGTCTGGACCCCAGACTTCATTGTCAACTGTCAAATTACAAACTGATTACCAAACTATGTATTGGTAGATGCGTTATTAATTTCTTTATGCAAAATATTTTACCTTTCTGTAGTTTCTACATTTGGTTTTCTTATTTTTTCTGGAACTAGTTTTAACTAGCTTATTCTTGAAATATTGATTAAAAAACTTGATTTAGCAATTGAATAACATAGGTTACAGGAAGAAAATAAGAGCATGTATTATTTTCTATGTAAAATATTTAATTTTTGCATAACAGCCTGGTAGAATTCTAGACAGGAAGGAAATTTTGAGATCATTGAAGCATAACCTCTTATTTTTCTGTGGCAAAATTATTAAGTAGGTATATTTTCACTTCCTTTCTCCAGTTCATTCCCCCTTTTCCTGTCTCATGGTTCCAGCTTCCTCATTTTGTCAGGTTAACCAGAGACCTTTATGATTTATGCTCGATTCAATCAAAACATTCAACTAAAAAATCACAGACTTCGGTCGGTCGATCGGGGATATAAAGCTCAGCGGCATAGTGTCTATCTGGCAAGTGTGAGGTCCTGAGTTTGATTCCTGGTACAAACACACACACACACACACACACACACACACACACACACAAAACAGGATTCCAATCTAATATAAAGGTCTGGAGAACTAATGGTTTGAGACCTTCGAGGATACATTTACATTTTATTAAAGGGTTTTATTAAGCAAAATTAACATCTATTTGGTTGAATATATGGGTAAGATAGATGCTAACAGATGTTCAGCAGTGCCCGTTATTTATTCTTCTTTGTGTGACCATACTGTCATCCAAAGTTTCCCACAGTGAGACAGCTAGTGCTGTGCTAACTCAGAGTTTCTCTTTCTTCATTAGTTTCATTCTCGAAGAGTAAGATATGATTCTCACCTGGTTTTTCCATGCCCTTTGCCCAGCTAGTATGTTCTGTTTTCCTCTTCCTTCTCAGGTATATAGTAATTTTAGTATTAATTTTTTTCAAGTTACAGCGTTTAAGATTATAACAGTTTGCTCGAGGATATATTTTTATATAATTTGGATAAACATACTGTTTTTAAGGGCTTAACTGAATAAAAAGTAGCCCTTGAAAAGTATCTTGCTAGTACTTAAAAATTTTTTCATTTGTAAAAAGTTTCTTTTCTTTCTTTCTTTCTTTTTTTTTTTTTTTTTTTTTTTTTTTTGTCTTTTTCCTTTTTATCGGTACCGGGGATCGAATTCACGACCGCCTGCTTGCAAGGCAGGTGCTTATGCCGCTGAGCTAAATCCCCAGCCCCTTGTAAGAAATTTCTTAACTACTGGAATTATCTTCAGTCAGAGTCAGATGACAGAGTTGGGAAATGATAATAAATTAAAACAACAACAGCAATAACCACAATAAATACACCTAGATGTTTGCATAATGAATTATAAAATAACAATAATAAAACTAGATGTTTAAATGCACACTTAGTCCTATGGAAGGAAGACTTCAGAAAGGTTTTTAGGCCTTTCTGTGTGGTTAAAAAGGCATACTAATGGCATAGAATCATTTCACATTTTTAAAAGTAAAACCTGTCATCCTCTTTAAGTATATTTCCAATGTGATCATTTCCATGGTGGTCCTCACTCTTAAGAACGTGGAGTAAGGGATGTAAACCTTAAAATAAACACTCTGACCTTTACACAGAGTAGGTAAGTCTTATACCAAGTATTTGGGCCAGTGTAATTTGAGAGAAATTGTATTCTGTCTTTGTGTACTGGAGTAGTTTTGCCTATCTAAAGTGCTAAAGCTTCAAGCACACCTGATTGTGATCTCTCTCTCTCTCTCTTTCTCTCTCTCTGCCTCCATATATATGAGTTTGGGAACATGCTAAAGTCTCAGGCCCAGGTTTCTTATGTGTAAAATGGTAATAATAATATCTGAATTTTGGTATGACTAAGTCATATAAAAAATCTAGTATTGTATTTGGCACATGGTATAACATAAGTAGTAGTCACAGTTATTTTTGCAGAGTTGTGGTCATATGTATGAGGAATACCAGTGAATGTAATTTACTTAAACTTAGAAATAAGACTTGTCAAAGATAGTCTGGCCTGTGGAAGGGAGAGCACAGGATAATGGTAAACTAAATGCTTAGCAACACATGATTCACTAGGAGGAAGAGCTGGAATAGCATGAATCACTAGAATTAGGCTTTAACCTAGTATGAACTTTGCAATTTATATCTGAATTACGGTTAATAAAACAGTAAACATAAGTTTTTTATGACACTAATTTTGGCTACCACAAAGTGATGAGCAGTGAATACAGAAACTTTTTGTAGTTCTTTAAGTGCACCCACTCTCTAAAAAGTAGTAAAGCTTTATTATGAGAAAATATCAGAAATTATAATGGAAAATAAGATTAAAATTATATTTATAGTCAATGTTCTCTAACAAGTCTGATATCTTGAAAAAAAGTATGGCATGTTAGAAAGTGAGTTTGGAAGTTATTTGAATTAGTTCAAATTGTACAAAATAAACATTCTATTTATGAATTCTTTTGTGAAATAGTGATTTTTATGCTTTACATCAAGAATGTCAACCCACAGCTGCTTATATTCCAGGAAGGGGCCTTTATTTTATTTTTTATTGAATTAAGTTTATTGCTACATTTTAGGTGTACATAGTGATCTCATTCATCACAGGGAATTTGTACCTGTAGATGATATATCTTCTTTTTTTCTCCCATTCCTCTATCTTCTCTTCAATGCCTCTTCCCCTCTCTATTTACAAAGGCTTTCCTCCACCTGGACCTTAAACCGTGTGGCTTCTGCCTTGAAGGCTGAAACACAGACTGAAACTATGAGACAAAAATAAACTTCTCCTTTAAGATGTGGGTGTTGGGTATTGGGTCTCAGCAGTGAGGAAAATAACTAAAACTGTGCCATGTTTTAATGCTCAGTTGAAATAATCAAAAAGATATTAAACATTACCAGAAGGGCTGGGGATTTAGCTCTGTAGCATAAGCACCTGCCTTGCAAGCAGGCAGTCGTGAGTTCGATCCCTGGTACCAATACAAAAAGAAAAAGACAAAAAAAAAAAAAAAAAATTACCAGAAAAGGGTTAAATATAAAGTAGAAAATACTATTTATTCTTCATGCAATATAACAAGTACATTATAACACTGAATTATAATAGAAATATTATTCAGAAGAGAATAAACTCAGAAGAGAATAAATAAATTCAGGGAGAATTTAAAAATGGTAAAATTAGTGGTAGGTTTCCCAAGGAGCAATAAAAAATAAACTAGACAACTTAGAAAATAATATTTAGAGCATATGGAAAGCATGAATATGAGATTATTCAGCAAATTCTTTAATTCTAGAAGTGTAACTTTCTGAAATTCAAACTTTGTATAATTAAAACTTGCTTAAAGGCAAATTGGTAGCATTATTTGAAAAAACAGATAATAAAAAGTAAAGTGTATTAATCCTTTTTTTTTTTTTTTTTTTTGTCTTTTTCCTTTTTATCCATACCGGGGATCGAACTCACGACTGCCTGCTTGCAAGGCAGGCGCTTATGCCGCTGAGCTAAATCCCTAGCCCCAAGTGTATTAATCCTAGCAGTAGAATAGAGATATAAATTGATTCAGAATAGTTTTGGTAGAGTTATTAATAATAAATTTGGGCTTTTAGTAAGTAAAGACATAGAACTTTTGAGTATATTTCTGTCTTGCAATTAAAGTATTGTATTATAAGTATTATAAGTATTTTTACATAAGTATAATAAGTATAATACATAAGTATAATTATGTATTATAAATATCTACATAGACTGCATGGGCTTGCAGATCTTTTGAAATTATACAGTATTTTATATGCATGTTCAAATGTGCAGTTTTGTGTGGAAATGATCTGTAACTCTATAATTTTCATTAGGTTCTCACAGGAACTTATACCTATCCCTTATTTTCTAAAACTGCTCCATATGAAAGTTAAGAACTATAGATTTAAAGCAAAGAGGTTAAATAATATGATGGGTAGAGTATATGGTTTAGACTCTTGACTTGATTACTTATTGACCTCATTACTTTAAAGGAGTTCTCCATTGGTAAAATTCAACATAAATATTTGTTGTGAAGATAAAGAGTGATAATATATAATAAAAAAGGAAGTTATTTTGTAAATCCTAAATAGTTAATTAACAGTATACAAGATGAATTTGACTTTACAGATGTTTTGTTTGGCCCACACAGTTGTGTAATTTTGAATTCCAAGTACATATAAAACCAGGGTATTTTATATAAAAATCTAGATTTCCAGCTTTTCTAAAAGTCAGAAGGAAACTTGGCAATACTGAGTCTGTATCTCTTCTGAGCAGCAGCTGATGGAGCAGAGCTAAGATTGCCTCCTAAGAAGGTAGATAATTATGGTTCCCACAGATCTGTGTCACCACCTGTGTTATGTGACTGGCCTCTCCTTTAAAGTATCATTTAGCTGAGTTAAATGACAGTCATATATCTCAGTATTGCCCTTTTGTCCCTGTCAAAAATATTGAGGGTCAGAAGCTCATGATGTTAGTCTAGGATGCATAGTTATC